CCGTCTGAAACTCAGTTCATAAACTACCTACAAAACCGGGTACAACTGCGCTGATTATTCTATTGCGCTATTGAAATCTTTGGCTTATCAAAGCCAGCGGACCGTGTGGGAGGTGTTGTTCAGGTGGGGGGGGGGGAGGGTTATGAAACAGCTGCGTTTTATGAACCAAACTCAAGGGGGCTCTTTTATTAAATATTAATTGATTACGGCGACGCTTTGGAATTTTTAAAGGGATTAAGTTTTTGGTTAATTAATAATTCAACTTTAATAATGAATCAGGATCGATAAAATACGTGTTAATTTATTGAAATATTGCCTGAATATGCACTTAACTGTGTTAATATGAAGACTTCACTATAATGATGTTTATATTTACATGTGTTGGTGTGTATATTTACCTACACTGGTGTGTACATCTCTACCGGTTGATGTGACGATTATGCAACATTAGGCCAGGAGCCGTCAACTATATCCTTTAATCTGGTTTTTGATACACCATCGATCTGTATCGCAAATCTTTGTGTAAGCAAAAGGTCATTTTAAAGTCACCCAGCTGTCGTCATAGTTCGGATCTCGACTGTTGACGTTTTCAGTGCATGACATTAAAGGATTACATTGCATGTCAAATTTTGGTTATGGATATAGGTATATATATATATATATATATATATATATATATATATATTTATATATATGTGTGTGTGTGTCTGTGTGTGTGTGCGTGCGTGTGTGTGTGTGTTTGTGTGTGTCTGAGTGTGTGTGTGTGTCTGAGTGTCTGTGTGTCTGCGTGTATGTGCGTGCGTGTGTGTGTGTCTATGTGTGTGTGTGTAAACAGTTATATCTTGACATACGAGCGCTTCGATATAATCGAGATTTTCGAGATACGAGAAGTCGGGAGAGGGATTTTTGTTTTCTTTTAGAAGCGAGCAAAATTTGAGAACTGAATCCGCGGGTTCTACAATGCATGGAAAAAGAATCACCCTGAAAAAGTTGCAACTGATCTTCATCGCAGCTACTTAATGCCATATGTCTAGCTATTTTCCATATCTATATATATAATTCTCTTCTTGGAGACCCTAGAAAACACCAAGCTGTAAGCGCGCCTAGCAGTCCCATCTCTTCCTCTCTAAAAGGTAGGAAGAAATATAGGTATTTCACGGTTTTTTTTAGTAGCCTTCCAAATTAAAGTAAGAAACGCAAGGCTAAGACGAGTGAAATGCAGAGAAGAGAAATTAAGAGAAAGTAAAAATAAATCGTTGAGTGGCATTTCAGCTGAAGTATTTTCATAGAATTTTATTGAATTTCCTTTAAGACAAGCGATTAAGTGTGGCAGTTTAGAGTGTAAAGAGCGGGAGAACATAAGTGACATAAAGATTAAGCATTAGCAATATAGTGAGTATGTGAACGAAAAAATTCACGTTTTTTTTTCACCAAGATATTATTTATGTAGATCTACCTTTATGTAGATTAATTATAATGAAACTTTCCAGTAGCTACTTCAGCATTGCTGTAATTTTGACCTTAATCTACTGATTTTTTATGAGCTTTATTTTTACTAATACTATGCATTGAATATTTTTGAAGCTGTGATGAAAAAAAAAAAAAAAAAAAAAAAAAAAAAAAAAAAAAAAAAGCGAGTGTGTACAGAGTTACTCTCGGGGAGGGGTAGTGTCTCAAAGAGCAAGTCCATTCCCACACCCTGACGAGTTTTAAAAAATAAATATATCATTTATATATATAAATTTATATATTTACCATTGTCCGTTCCTATCCGAAGTTTCAGGTGCCCCCGGAAGTAGAAAAAAAGTCCAATAGAACCCAAGGTGTTCAGCGAATGTGGGTATGCTGTGTTCAGTTCAAGCCCATACCTCACAAGTAGAGACCCATCTTGGATTTTCTGAAGCGTGACTTGCATTTAAAAAAAAACTCCTTGTGTCGACTCCAACGTCAATTATTAATAGTTGGCGTATCAAAGGAATCGCTAACAACGAGCCATCGATTTTAAAGTTTTGAGAAAAAGAATAGATAATTCTCTTCATTCAGTACGCAAACTAAAGAAACAAAAGCCGGTTTAAATAAAAAAAAACCTCAAGTCGAAATCTTTTAGAACAGCACATGATAGCGGTAAAAAAATATTATATTTTGTTACAATAGGCAAACGTTGTGTGACAAAATTGTTATAATAAGCACAGGCATATCCCATATAAAGTAACAACAGGCGCACCTCTATGATTTTTAAGTAACCATGCCCCCTTCTACAGCTTTAAAGTACTCACAGGTTACCTCTATAATATTAAAGTAACTACAAGCGCACGTCTATAGCTTAAAGTAACCTTAGGCACCCCTCTATAATTTTTAAGTAGCCAGGCGCCCCCTATAAATTTTAATTAAACACAGGCGCCCCTCTATAATTTTAAATAAAAAAACAGGCGTCTCTCTATAATTTTAAATAAAAAACAGGCGCCCCTCTATAATTTTAAATAAAAAACAGACGCCCCTCTATAATTTTAAATAAAAAACAGGCGCCCCTATATAATTTTAAATAAAAAACAGACGCCCCTCTATAATTTTTAATTAAACACAGGAACCCCTCTATACCCAGGCACCATTCTATAATTGTAAAGTAACCACTGGCGCCCATTTCTATAGTTACAATAACCACATGCGCGGTACATTGTACAAAGACGGTCCCTCTAAGGGTCAATGGGTGCCAAATATAATATTATAATAAAGTCTACCATTAAGTTCCCTCCCTCTCTCCCTCCCTCTTCTACCCTTACTTAACTACCAATGTTGTGGGGGTTAAATGGAAAATATAGGTCAAACTAAAGTCAAGAAAAAATATTTTGTTATCATGCGTCTTTTGGGTGTGTGTGTTGGGAGAAGGGGTGGGGGGGGGGGAGGGCAAAGCACGTCCATACCCCTTCCTTTAGACGAAAAGAAAAAAATGTATAATTTATATAGAGAATATTTACTTCTTTATAGGCCTATTTAAACATGTAACGGCACCACCGAAATTTATTTCAAATCTCGGTCCACGTTCTCCCCCCTCCCCCCCCCCCCACTTTGCCGAACGTTTCAAGATACCCCCACCCCGAGAAAAAGGTCCTATAGCCGGTGTCACAACGGGTTGAGCTAGTGGTTGACATACACAGGAGGGGGGGGGGGGGGGCGGCTTTCTGTGCATGTTTGGATTGGTGGTTTGGGAGGCATGGCTGTTTGTAGAGGGGTGGGTTGGTGTCTAAAGAGGCGTGGTTTGGTGAAGATTTGTGTAGGGGTGGATTGGTGATATTGTAAGAACATATCTTTGTGGAGGGGTGGGTTATACGGGAGTACACATCTTAGTAGAGGGGTGGGTGAGTAATATAGGAGGTGTAAGACAGGTGTGTTGGTGATATGGGAGATGCTCATTTTTGTAAAAGGGTTGGTTGGTGCCCTAACAAAAAATGCTTGACCGTATTGTGGTAGTATAGCTTTTTTGTGTGGACTTTTTGGTGCAACCTTTGATAAGTAAATAACCTAGCAATCCATTGGACAGATGAAGTAGAGTTCATGTGTTTCTTGACCTCGGCATATGAAGGGAAGGTGTGGCCAGCATTTTACACAGCTGCATTTACTTTCCCTAACATAAGTTAGGTACTCATCAGAGCTGTGTTGATTCAGCGACATTATACTGAGTTGGATCCGGATTTGAACTCAAGACTTTCGGGTTAGCAGCCTAGCACTCTACCACTTTGGTCAAACTGTCCCATGAAAACTTTGATGATGTACCTTTAATTATTGGCACCTTTTTTCTTTTGTTAAATATCCTACTGAGAGTGTCAGGGTGTGAAATAACTAATTAATAATCTACTGCAATTAAAATAATTACAAACAGAAACAAAAAGCAGAATAAAATATAAAAATCTTTAATCATATCAAGCAAAATGTATTAAATAAACTCAACATAATATAAACTTGTTAGTGTTAGTAAAGTCTAACATTTTTTACCTAGCCCTGATGCAAAAGATTTAATCTGGATAGTACAATTGTTGGTTGTCATAATTGTTATCTAATTTTATTCTTTTATAAGACATTACCCCTGCTATTAAATTAAAGACTTCTAACATTTTGATCCTACACTTAACAAATAATATTTTCTAGTATATAATAACCAAAAACATACCTTAAAACAAAAGTATGTATTAATTTAGAACATAAATTGTGGATACAATTAAAAAAGTACAATGTTAGTATCCTAATTTTGATTTATCCTGTTTAGAAAAAAATAACAGAAAACATTTTGGCAATGATTAAAAATAGTTTTAAAAATGGACAAATAAAGATACATAAAATTATATTAAACATGACAGAAGTATGTAGAGGCATCCAGTGACAGTAGTTTAAATTTGGAAGAAGGAAAGAAGATGTTACAAAGACATTTCTTCAAGACAAGTTGCCAAAAACATTTTTTCAAAAAAAAAAAAAGCAAATTTTTAAAAATGTGCTAGTTTATAAATTAAAAGTAAAATATTTTCTGCATTATGATTCAAGAATCATTTATTTCTAAATTTTATAAGTTAATAATTTGTAATTTAATGCCAAATTTTTCTAAACTACTCTTAGTAGGTAATTTTTATATTTTCTTTTTGGATAAATTTAGAACAAAATTTTAAAAAATCAGATTTTTGTGTTCTATTCTCTGTTTGATGGATTGCAATGGAAGACAAATAGAATAAAAGAAGAAAAAAAAACTAGAAACAGATTTAAAAAAAAACAACAACAAAGAATAAAAGAATCATAAAATAAACTGATATTTTTGATACCTCATTTAATCAAAACTAAGGGCAATAATCCAAACAAACTTGATGCAGGGGCTATCAATTTTTTTCCTTTAAAATATGTTCTGTATTTCTTATTGCAATTTACAATATATATATATATATATATATATATATATATATATATATATATATATATATATATATATATATATATATATATATATATATTTTTTTTTTTTTTTTTAATCTGACAATCCATAAATAACCCTGTATGAATTCTTTCCTTCAAAAAAAAATCTTTTTTGCAACTTACAACTAATAATTTACAACTGGTAAAATACCAACATACCTACAAGGCAGGTGAAAAGACTGTAAAGCCCATAGTCAACAGACAACTAAAGCCACAGAGACAGGACTGGATAAGAAAACATTAGAGCCTAGCCTAGGTCCCAAGCTACACAGGAAAATTATGCTAAATGTACACTAAATTTATAACATGTTTGATTAAGTGATTGGTAAGGATTATTTGATTACTTGCAAGAAATCCATGAATGGCTTCAATAGGACAGATAGACAAGTCCTAGGCCTACACATTTTGAGCTACTATGAAGATGGGCTAACATGGTGTAAATTGCTGCATTTAGAAAAGGGTAAATTGTGTTAAGGACTAAGCCCTTGTTCACGGCTAACTTGTACAAAGTGAAGATTATGTATTTTGTCAGGCCTAAAATGGTTCAAAAGTAATGCAACAGAACATAAACTTGTAAAATTGAATTTTAGAAAATAAAAAACCATGTGTCAATTCATACGGAAGTTTTACTTATGTTTAAAAAAACTGATAAGTGATCATATTAATGATTTTTTTTTAAATATTTATTTTACTAACCTGTCTCTATATTGTTTGCCAGTTCATGTAATTAATTAGGACTGATGATTACAATTTTGTATTTTAATTAGATTTCAAATCCCAATTTTATAGAGAAAAAGTGAAAATAAATGAGATTCAATATGTAGATCTGTAAAATAAAAAGTCAAAGTTATTGAGGGAAAAAGATCTAAAAATACCCATATAGAGTGTTGAAACAGAAATTGAGAAAAGGAAAAAAAAGTACATAATTCAGATTTTTCAAAGTTTATCTATTTGAAAACTAATAGCTAAAATGTTTTTTAAAAATTAATTTTTAATTTAACAATACACTGTCTTCACCGTTAAAAAATATCTTGAACATAATGTTACTGTTTAAGATGAAAATTAACTTTCTATTGATTGAAAATTAAAAAAGATACTTCTAAACAATATTTATTGCAAATATTAAAAAAATAAAATAATATCTTGATATTATTTGAAAATCATAGAAAATAACAAATATTATAATTTTTGTACATTTTAAAAAAATAATTATCATTGTGATGATTATAATCATTCCAATAAAATTTCAATATGAGATTTCACAAACGGCAGAAGGCATCGATACTACAACAATATTTTCCTTAAATATTTTTTTTTTTTTTACAAACAATAGATTCAAACTAGAGAATGTTTTTTTAACAAACCATATTTTTGTATAACAAAAAAATGTGTACAAATATTGAAAATGGTAAACCATTAAATTACAGTGTTCATAAGTTTGAACTATTTTTTTTAAATACACTAATGAACACTAAAGCTACTTCAGAAAAAAAAAAACAAGAAAAGAGAAACAGATCTTGAAAATGACTAAGAAAACTTTTTACTAAAAAGGATAAGAAATATAAATCAGGTTGGAGGCTATGAGCAAGCTTTGAGTGAGACAAACAGCTATGGAATGTTGCAGCAGGAATGATCTCACATCTATTAAATATAATCAAAGGGAGAAAAAACCCTGCAGCATCAATTACACTTCTAAATAAACACCTAAGGGAAGCAACTGTCAATTATATTTTAAAATAAATACTAAAGGGAAAGAACTGTCAACTGTATTTAAAAAAAAATACTTAAGGGGAAAAACTGTGTATATTATTTTTTAAAACAAAAAACTAAGAGCAATGATGAATTCTCAATTTCTACATTAATATAAGGACAATTCAATAGGGTCTAAACTGAGCATAAAAGTATAAGCAGGTAATTTGAAAATGAATATTTATGGTATCACAAAATTGTTTTTGAAATTTGTTTAAATGTATGAAATTCACAAATCATATCTGAATAGCCTACAAGCATAAAAAAGAAACCAAAAAAGAAACTACTAGTAAGATTTTTTAACATCAAATTAGCAATTTATATTTTTAAAAAATCACAATAAATTCAAAGTGAACTTAATGTACAAACTGCAGGCTTTATAAAATAATAACTGTGCTGAGATTCAAACTTGAAGTCATAGTTTTATAAATTATTGGTTAATCATGACCAAAATGGAGAAAAACAAAGATGAGAAAAACAAAGATATTGAAACCTTAAACTGTTATCAGAACAATACAAGAACTGTTTCACTAATTATAGCAAATTAGGGTTAAGTTTTAATACCTGATCCAAAAAAATGTGTTCACAATATATAAATGAAATTCCTGCACATAAATTTGTTATGTTACAAAAGTCACCCCAGCTAGAATTAGCAAGAAAAAAAAATAATTATACAGTACATCAATCATCATTGTCAAGTTATTAAGTATATCATTTCCAATTTTTCTTGATATGTTTAATGAGATAATATAAGAAATTCAATAACATCTATAATACAATTATATTACATAAGCCAACAGAGATATATATGTATGTATCAACAAAAAGCAACCTAAAGAAAAAAATTTGAAAATCCTGTTAACATACAAATAAAAAATATAGCTTACCTGCTATGGTGTATATAATTATATGTATGATATACAGTCAAGAGAGTAAAGGAATCGGTAACAGAAGGATCTTCAGCATGCTTAAACACATTTAAAAACTATCTTTAGCTATTTGATAGTATAGATGATATCAAGTGAAAAAAAAAATCCTTTCTTAGAAAATATAAATACAAAAAGCGTGTAAAAAGGCTGTAATTTTGACTTGTAGATAGCTTAATGCAGAAAATTTTATTTTTTTCTGCCTATTTTTCATCCGGTTCGGATAATAATTCATAAACTAGTATTCTACAGGGGTGGGGGTGGGTGGGGGGTGTAATAGTATAAAGTATAATTTATATTGCAATTAATTAGTTAATTAGTTAACACATTTTTAAAAAATCTTTTGATTGAATGTTAATTTTTTTGTTTTAATTTATCAACACATTCTCTACCCTGTTAAATTAAATTAATTGATTAATCTGCCAGGTTTTAAATAAAATAAAAACTCACAGCTTAGTGATGAAGACCCTACTGTTACCGTTACTTTCAAGCGTGGACATAAAGACAAAAAGCTAAGAGATAAATAAACCCCACAACCCATACAAGAAGATTACAGTCAAGATATTAATAGTAAAAAATAAAAAAAAGTAAAGCACAATTAACTTTGGAACAGTATGATTTTAAAGAAAAAAAAAAAAAAAAAACAACCTTATTAGTATTTTGGTAAGTTAAAATTATGGATTAACAACAGAGAGTAATACTTGCACAGAATGAAATGAAACAAACCTTGCTATATAAAAATTTATCACAAACCAGAGAACAGACTAGAGCTCTGCATATGTTCTCAATAACATCAGAACACATTTCATCTCCATTTTTGTAGTGTCAGTAGTTTTATAAGCCACTTTAAGATTACAATTTACACAATTTTCATTTACAAAATTCTCAGTGTCATCTATTATTTTATTGAAACTGCTGCATAAAATTATGCATTCAGAAAATATGCATGACAAGAAATATTTTTAAGTATTATTTTTAATCAATTTAAAATTAAATTTAAAGCTGATAAAAATAGTTACTAAATTTAAAAAATGTGAATAAAAGATGTCTAACTTATGTGGCAAGAGTGTTTGGTTAACAAAACAAGTTAAAGTACCCAGGGTTATTTTCTTTGTACAAATATATTTTTGTCAAGTACATGATCCATTAATTTACAGTAATTTTAAATCCATTATAAAAAATATGGATCTGTTTTTATATTAAAATAATTATTTTCTTCGGTATACTTTTTATTTATTTATCAAATTATTTCCCTTTTATTTTACTTTTAATCCCCCTTCAAATTTTAAACTTATACCCTCATTTTAATTACTTCCCCTGATTTTCAATTGGGTGAAAATATTGTGTAACTCTTGCAATATAAGTGTAGACTGGTCAAGATTTCACAAAATATTTAAAAATAATCAAATAAATATTTTTTTAAAAATAGAAATAAAAGATTACTTTTTTACCAACTGTAGCTTAACATTTAACAACATTTTTTTTTTTTTAAATGATGGATTAAAATAAATAAAAAATGTTTTTGATCAACTTGAAACAAGAATTTAAGCAATAACCAGAGGCTCATCATCAGAGAAACCTTGAATCATTGGCTCATCACCATCTGAAAGATCCAAGAATATGCCATTAATGACAGGTGTGTAAGAAATAAAGTAGTTAAAATGTAGTTTTATTTTAAATCATTTTATATCAATATGGAAACAAAACAAAAGTATTCTGTAATAAACTTTTTAAAAATTTTGTACATCATTGATCTCCACAGTATACATTTTAATTTCAAAGTTGAAATTGTAGACTGTAAAAATTCAAGAACATCAAAAAAACTTGATAGAACATAAAACTACGCTAAAAGCACAGCTGCTCATTAAGAAAATTTACAGGTCTGGTACATTTATTCCTTAATGTAAGAAATTCAACAAAGGAAGCAACCTGTTTTCAACACTTAGAATAAATCTCAAAATGACAACTCCCTTATTTTATAGAATGCTAAATAATGTTGCAGAGTGAGTAAACATTTCCAATGAGTATTTAAAAATTATTCTAGCTATTAACATCCAGTCCTTTTAGATTAATCAGAATTCATAGAACAAGGAACTATCACCAAAATAATCTGAACAGAATTCCTTGTGTGAGTAACTATCTGAATAGAATTCTTTGTGTAAGGAACTATCACTTACCAAGATCATTAGACAGAATTATAACAGGAACTATAACTTGTCAAGATCATCTGATCAAAATTCCTTGTGGGAGGAACAATTATCACTTAAAGATCAACTGATCAGAATTCCTTGTGTGAGGTAAAACTATCAATTACCAAGATCATCTGATTAGAATTATGTTAGGAACTATCACTAACCAAGATCATATGATCACATTTGTGTTAGGAACTATCACTTATCAAGACCATCTGATCAGAATTATGTTCGCGAACTATCACTTACCAAGATCAGAACTGTGTTAGGAACTATCACTTACCAAAAATAAAAAGAAAGTAAAGTTCCCTTTTCAAACCTGAAGGTCTATAGGGCAAGTGAAGTAGAGTTCACTTGTTTCTGTGACCTCGGCATATGTATGAAGAGATAGTGTGGTCAGCACTATGCCCAACTGCCTTTACTTTCCCTAATGTGAGTTAGGTACCCATCAGAGTTGGGTGGACTCAGGGATGGTCTACTGACTTGACCCGGATTTGAACTCGAGCCTTATTGGTTAGTAGTCAAGCTCTTTACCCCTAGACCACTCCATCCCATATTAAAGGATATAGTTGACGGCTCCTCGCCTAATGTTGCATAACCGTCACATCAGTGTAGACATCAGTGTAGGTAAATATACACACCAACACACGTAATTACACACAAAATTATAGTGAAGTATTCATTACCACTTAAGTAGCATTACCAAGATCATCAGATCAGAATTGTGCTAGGAACTATCACTTACCAAGATCATCTGATTAGAATTGTGTAAGGAACTATCACTTACCCAGATCATCAGATCAGAATTGTGCTAGGAAATATCACTTACCAAGATCATCTGATCAGAATTATGTTAAGAACTATCACTTACCCAGATCATCTGATCAGAATTGTGCTAGGAACTACCACTTACCATGATTATCTGATCAGAACTGTGTAAGGAACTACCACTTACCAAGATCATCTGATCAGAATTGTGCTAGGAAATATCACTTACCAAGATCATCTGATCAGAATTATGTTAAGAACTATCACTTACCCAGATCATCTGATCAGAATTGTGCTAGGAACTACCACTTACCATGATCATCTGATCAGAACTGTGTAAGGAACTACCACTTACCAAGATCATCTGATCAGAACTGTGTAAGGAACTACCACTTACCCAGATCATCTGACCAGAACTGTGTAAGGAACTATCACTTACCCAGATCATCTGACCAGAACTGTGTAAGGAACTATCACTTACCCAGATCATCTGACCAGAACTGTGTAAGGAACTACCACTTACCCAGATCATCTGATCAGAATTGTGCTAGGAACTACCACTTACCAAGATCATCTGATCAGAATTGTGCTAGGAACTACCACTTACCAAGATCATCTGATCAGAATACCTTGTGTGAGGTACAACTATCACTTACCCAGATCATCTGAAAATGTCGTGGTGCCAGACTGGATGTTGTAGTGACTGTTGGCAAAAGCCAGAAAGCTGCGCTGGAGCCGCCTGTGCCTGACGATGAAGAAGACCAGCCCAGCACTCAGGCCCACCACTACAACAGCCACGGGGACCAGGATGGCCACAAAGTTGGTTTGGCTAAGGGAGATCACCTTGTCATTTGTTGGGGCATCCACATTTTCAACTGAAAGGGGAGATAATCTACAGGTTAATTTTTCTAGCTACAAAATATGTTTTCATTTGACATCATTCTATTCAAGAAAAATATATGCTTAGTTGGTGGCAGATATATTTTTTTTTTTTATTAATGCAAATTTTATTTGACAATTTTTAAATGAGTTTCACTGAAACAAAAATACAATAGGTTAAAACAAGCAGTTTTAATCAAATTAATTTTGAATGGAAATATTGCTAAACACAAAAGACAATAATTTTAAAATCTTTTTAAAATCTGTTCTTATTTACAATGAAAATTCTTTAAATCGCTCATGCCTAAACTATTTCCCTAGAAATTCTAAAATAAGTGGGACAGCATGGTCAAGTGATAGAGCACTTTTGTTAGCCTGAAGGTCTGGAGTTCGGTTCTCAGTCCGGACTCGAGACTGAAGCATGTCCCTTAGCCCACCCAGCTCTGATGGGTATCTGACTGATGTTAGAGAAAGTTAAGGCAGCTGGATGTAGAGCTGGCCACACTGTCCCTCCATATGCTGAGGCCAAGAAACATATGAACACTACTCCACCTGCCCAAAAAATCATTAGGTCTTAACACAGTTTCAGTCAAGGAGGATGGATTGAAATGGGAAAAAGGTGTTTAAAAAATTTTTTAAATATTTTTTCTTGTCTAAATTATATTTTAGCCATAGAGGATTTTTTTCGTGTGAAGTTTTATTCAAACTGGGAAAAAGGTGTTTAAATAATTTTTAAAATAGTTTTTCTTGTCTAAATTATATTTTAGCCATAGAGGATTTTTTGTGTGAAGTTCTATTTAAACACTCCTAACATCTGCATCCAACATAGTAGGACAGTGGTGATATTCGTGGGTTCCAATCCAAGACAGACATCTGGATAATCAGTGAATTATAGACACAGTTTATTTTTTTTTAATTTTGGGTTCAGAAAAGGCTGGAACAGGCAGAGACTGTAAGTTTAGAAAATGTGTGCTTGACTGTTACATCAAAAAACACTATATCCTTATACCATTATAATAGGTTCCTAATGATTAATGAGAATAAAGGTTAACCATTACTTACATGAGAACTGCAGCTCTTGTGACATAGCAATGGTTTCTCCTTCTTTAGACATGGCATGAACTTTAAAAAAATATGTGCCGTCAGTAGGAAGGGACAGAAGTATTTCTTGTTTAGATGTATGATTTTTCATTGTTGTCTCCCCTTGTGAGCTGAACACCAAAAACTCCTAGAATATACAATAAAAAAAAAATTAAATTTACAATCACATTTAGAAAATTTATTCCCCTATGCAAAGATGCACATAAATAGCATTATATCTTTTAGAGAATCATTTCCCCAAAGCAAATCCTCAAACAAATAAAATTTGCAAAGATGCACATAAGTAAAACTATATCTTTGTTATAAATCTGATTCAGTCTTAAGCTATGAACCTAGAAATAGAACTTAATATGAGTATTCTGGATATTGTAATGGCAACAATTTTTTAAAATTCAAAAACAAAACAATACTGGTTAAAAAACAAGCACTATCAAGTATAGTTCCCATTTGCACCTGACAACCCAGATGAAGTAGAGTTCACCTGTTTCTGTGACCACTGCATATGTAGGTATAGTGTGGTCAGCACTATGCCCAGCCACCTTTACTTTCCCTAACCAATTCCAATACCTATCAGAGTTAGGTGGACTCATTTGTACCATGACTAGCCAGGGACCTACCTCGAGACTTTGGGTCAGAAGATGAATGCGCTACCATTCGACCCTATCATTATCAAAAAGGCTATATAAAAGTGTAATGAAGACCTACCCTGAAGTCTGGATCTGAAATAAAATCCCATGTCCACCTCAGGACCACTTGAAGTCCTCCGACATGCTCGGCCACAAAGTTCACAGGCCCAGCTAGGGAAGCTGGAAACATATGGGTACATATATAAGGTCATTTAGGTTTTTAATTCATAAATGTAGCATGATAGAAACATATACGGGTACATATATAAGGTCATTAGGTTTTTACTTTATAAATGTAGCATGATAGAAACATATGGGTACATATATAAGGTCATTTAGGTTTTTACTTCATAAATGTAGCATGATAGAAACATATACGGGTACATATATAAGGTCATTAGGTTTTTACTTTATAAATGTAGCATGATAGAAACATATATGGGTACATATATAAGGTCATTTAGGTCTTTAATTCATAAATGTAGCATAATAGAAACATATATATGGGTACATATATAAGGTCATTTAGGTTTTTAATTCATACATGTAGCATGATAGAAACATATATGGGTACATATCTAAGGTCATTAAGGTTTTTAATTCATACATGTAGCATGATAGAAACATATACGGGTACATATATAAGGTCATTTAGGTTTTTACTTCATAAATGTAGCATGACAGAAACATATATGGGTACATATATAAGGTCATTTAGGTTTTTACTTCATAAATGTAGCATGACAGAAACATATACGGGTACATATATAAGGTCATTTAGGTTTTTACTTCATAAATGTAGCATGATAGAAACATATACGGGTACATATATAAGGTCATTAGGTTTTTACTTTATAAATGTAGCATGATAGAAACATATATGGGTACATATATAAGGTCATTTAGGTCTTTAATTCATAAATGTAGCATAATAGAAACATATATATGGGTACATATATAAGGTCATTTAGGTTTTTAATTCATACATGTAGCATGATAGAAACATATATGGGTACATATCTAAGGTCATTAAGGTTTTTAATTCATACATGTAGCATGATAGAAACATATGGGTACATATATAAGGTCATTTAGGTTTTTACTTCATAAATGTAGCATGACAGAAACATATATGGGTATAAGTTATCATTCTGTTTAGGTTTTTACTTCATGTTTTTACTCTCAACTATATTTAATAATAAAAATTAGTTATTTGATAAATTTATTCAAAATTATGCTGAATCTGAGTCGTATTGCCACTATTGCTCAGGTAGAGACCCTAAATATAATCTGATACAAAAAATATTTTATAACTATATATATATATATATATATATTCATATTTTATAAAAATATAAAAAATCAAAATTTTAAAAATAACGACCACCTTCACATATATATATATATATATATATATATATATATATATATATATATATATATAATTATATAATTATATAGATATATATATCTGAAACTTTTGTTACTCAAATTTTGTGAAACCAGAAAGTGAATCAAAAAGATTACAAGGGGAATGTAGATGTTCATAGTTTAACACTGAGGTTACTTAACTGAACTGGGACACACCATAAACGGAAATACCCAAACCGTACGGGCACAAATCAGAAACTCACGTATTTTGACTTTCAACACCGGGCTGTTCTGTGAGCCAGGAACTAAAGTGCGGACACTGAAGGTGTATATCTGGTTGTCCTTCACAGATAGGGTGTGCTTGATTTTGGTGAGAGAAGTCTGCTGGACAGCTATTTCTGTGCTAGGGTTATCCCCATTTTGCACAGTAATGATGTAGCCCTATGTACAAAATAGTTAAAAGTTTTGATAATTTATATACAATTGAACAATATCATATTATAATGATGAAAGAAATTTATCTGAATCACATAGGGACCATATATTAGTATCACACATTATATGGAACAAACAATTTATGAATTATACATTTTATAGACCACAAATTTTGTTGACTAAATTTGTACTGGTCCACACTTTTGAAGGGTCACATTTTTTGTGGACTCACATTTAAGGGCAACAAATTATCACAGGTTTTTTGGGCAAACCTAGCTGTGGCCTTAACCACATATTTTATAAACTAGTAACATATTTAACATTCATTTAACCAACCACTTAAAAAAAACACCATAATGTGTAGGAAACAAAATAAACAGAAATGTTAGTGAATACATTACAAGGACAGTTAATCATACAGACCACATTATAAAAAGACCACAAGCTCTATGAACTAAATATTTCTAGGTTTATAAGGATAAAATGAAGAGAATCTATAAACAATCTGAAACTCACAATTTCCCTGGACTGTTTGTAGCAGGAGGCTGTCCATTTGAGAGTGACATTAAACTGGTAGGACTCATGAGTAAGTTCATATTCTAGGTCTTTTGGTGGTGCCTTATCATCTAGGGAATTAAATGTAATAGAAATTTGTCACAGATATTATAGGGTTAATTCAAACTAGATGTTTTCCCCTTTCTCTATTCATGGTGCCTTATCAGCTGGGAGAAACAGTGAAAGGGTTAGTTTGACTAGATTATTTCCCTTTAATTATCAATATAGCTCACTACCTATACCAATTCTAAAACATGTTTTCATAGTTTATATTTCAGAATTTTTTTAACTTCACTGCTTTCATAACCACTAAGACAACTAACGGAGCATAATGGAGCATAACGGAGCATAATGCATTAAATTTTCTGTATATATGGAAAAGTTCAAGTGGTGTATGTAAATATGAGCAGCTGTGTTTTACAGTGAAATGCTAAGTCCTCATATTCAAGAGAAGTGTTTCTTCCAGACTTTTTTATATTTTCGAGTGGGGCGGACAACATTTTCTGGAGGGAGGGGGGGGGGGGGGGGGGGCACTGGTAAAAGTATATGTTATATGTTTTCTAAATAAATTCTATTTCGTTTGGGGGGGGGGGGGGGGCAGGGGCAGAGCCGAAGAGATGCCTGGAAGAAACTCTGTTCAGTGTCTAAGCCACCATTGCATGTTAGGTAAATAAATAAAATCCCACTACTGACCTTCCTCTGTTATGAAGCTGGAGACACCAGAGGACGGACAGAAAGGTGACACAGGCCGGACCCAGACAAAGTAGTTCTCACAGGCGTACAGGCCTTTGATCTCGTAACTTGATTCCAGAGATGTCAGGTTCAAAGGTGAGGCGTGGTTGTCATGGGTGTAGTAGATGTGGAATTTCTGTGGGGATATAATTATTGCGTGATTTTTAAATTATTTCCCTATATGAATTTCTGTGGGAGTATTACCATTGTGACTTTTAAAAACTATTTCCCTCTAAGAAATTCTGTGGGAAGTTTTTAAAACTTTTTTTGCTCTATGAAATTCTGTATAAGAAAAGGTTTTGTGTTTTATTTCGGTAAGAATATAATCATTTTTTTTTGTTTCAGTGTTTATCTTATTTTACAGACCGAACAGCTAGAAAATTCTTATCAAATCACTGGTAACAGATTACCTCAGGTAAAATCTTTCATTGTCTCAGACATGTCCTACACTTGAATCATTATTTCAACTATTTAAGTCAATTCATAATTCACATTATTTAGACCAGGGGTCTCCAAACTACGGCCCACGGGCCGGATGCGGCCCGCGAAGTCCTCTCATCCGGCCTGCGGAGATCTTATTGTCCACGGAAAAAAAACATTTGTTAGTGATGACTAAGGAACTTTGCCCAGAAAAATCAAAGACATGCCTGGAAGAAACTGGCCCCCGAACTGAAATTTGATAGTTAATGCGGCCCTCGGACTGAAAAGTTTGGAGATCCCTGATTTAGACCAAAAGCTTGTCCTAATGCACCTAACTAAGATTTTACCTTTATGGATAGTTTCCCATAAATTTATAAACTTTAACACATGATGCAATAATAACTTTAAAAAATAAAAATAAAAATGTTATACAAGCATACACACTTAATTAACAAAACATTAAAATAGTTAAAAGTAGAGTTCCCCTTCCAAACTTGACGGTCTATGGGGCAAGTGAAGTACAGTTCACCTGTTTATGTGACCTTTGCATATAAAGGGATAGTGTGGTCAGCACTATCCTCAGCCACCTAATGTGAGTTAGAGCTGGGTGGACTCAGGGACGGTCAACTGACTTGAACCTGGATTCTAAATCGAGTCTTATGTGTTAGCTCTCTACCGCTAGGCCACTCCGTCCCAATTAAAATAGTTTACCAAAATAAAACTTAACCCGAAATTTACTTAGGTCCATTTAGACAAATATCATATTATTTGCTTAAAGAAGAACAACTAACACCAGGTAAGGGATGCTAGTGGAGAAAGCCTACCTTAGCTGAACCCTGGGTAACATTGAAGGACACCATGGCACTTGTGGGTCCAGTTTTCTCAACCTTAGCTATGCTGACCAGAGGCTGTGTGCCTGCAACATTCACAAATCTCATAAAAAGGCCAGGGTGTGTGATTTATTGAAAATAAATTTTAAACAAAGACTGATGCAGAAAAAAAAAAATCAACAGCCTGACATTACCTGTGGTAGTACTGAATGCCTTCCATGCTAGGCCCTTCACTTTATTGGCATACAAGGCTTGCACCAACACTTTAAAATCACTCTGTGGGCAAAGGTCAGCAACTGGAAAAACCATTGTAATAAATGTTATCCATAAATTAAGACTCAACAAATTCACATTCTATGTAGACCAGGGGTCTCCAAACTTTTCAGTCCGAGGGCCGAATTAACTATCAAATTTCAGTTCGGGGGCCAGTTTCTTCCAAGCTAAGTTCCACATCATCCCCAACAAACGATTTTTCCTTGGACAAAAGGATTTCCGCGGGCCGGATGAGAGGACTTCGCGGGCCGCATTCGCGGGCCGCATCCGGCCCGCGGGCCGTAGTTTGGAGACCCCTGATGTAGACAATAAAACACTTAGCATTTTGCTAATTTGAAATACATTAATCCAGCAGACGGTCCAGGAAACACAGTTTAAGCTAATTTGTCACAATACATCAAATAAGTATTTAATAAAAGTTAAAGTTTTCTATTTCAACTCCACTTGCAAGAAAATACATATCTTTAATAAATATGAACTATAAACAAAAAGTAATATAAGAATGTCTATTATGCATTACAAACATTGAACCCTATTTATAATTTAGTAACTATTAAATTTAACTTTATTGTAATGACTTTTTGGAATACAATTTCCGTTTGTTTCCCTTTATTATTTAAATAATTATTATGGGAAGTAACTAGCACATTTATATTCAACGTGCAAGATTTTATCTTTTTCAACATTGTAGTATATTGATTTTTAAATATCTAATTACATTTAAGTATATAAATACATTTTAAACTGATTTTTGTTATGGATGTAATTGTTTTAGCAAAAATATGTAATAGGTCATTCAATACTTTTAATAGTAAGCAACCAGATAATTAAAATTTAATTTTTTTAAAAAGGTGGGAGTGAGCTCCCCTAAGCTTACTTGTATCTTGTTATGCAACAGTAAGGGTTAGAATAGTATTCCAGTGGAATCCAGCAATAGTAGGAATGGTAAGTAAGTTAAGGACAGGACTAGTTTTTTTTTTTTAAAATATATAGGCAATAAGTTCCTAGAAGATGCTGCTTTATGAGAATATGTTGTAGAATTATCAAAGTCTGAAGTTTTTGAAAAAAGTTCCTAGAATATGCTTTATGAGAATGTTATACATTTTTAAATACTGAAGTTTTTGAGAAACTGGAAATAAAGTAAATATCACCTCATGTTACCGAAATTTGCACATAAGTTGTTAGGAACCTATATGTTGGATCTGATATACTTAAATTTTCGCCCACCTAACACTACAGGAACTGTACTCAAAGACACAGACACAAACAAACAAGATTACAAAACAGGGTTAATCTAACTCAGGCAGGTGTATTTCAAAATCTCGATTTGTTTTGCATACAAGAAAGAAAAAACATTAACCGAACAAACTTCTTCTTCTTCTTCGTTCTTAATTTTAGTGTTGAAGGGGATCGAGATTTATCTGCCAGTGGGTTTGAACTCGAGACTTTGTTCAAATTTATCAACCATGAGCTTTTTGCCGACTCGACCACGCCTCCAACACAATTAAGCGTTATGTGTCAATTGGTTATGCGCCATTGAGGCCATTGACTCCGATTTCAGCCTGCTTTTCTTTTTGGATTCGCTTCCATAGCCTTTGTCCAACCAAGAACAAACTACAAGGCAACAGTTGTTTGATTTTGGAGTTGTCTCTCCTAGATGAGTGGCTGTCCCCAGCTAACGAGCCTCATCTGCCCGAGACCGAACAAACAACATGGCTCTAATATACTTAATTAAACAATAAAAATTTGCAAGTTAATTTACCTAATAAGCTCGTCTCTGTTTTGCTGAGCTCTTTCTCAACATCTTTGATCTCCCCGGCTGGGAAAATAGGAGAGCTCTGCTTCAAAGAGATGACCGTGACCTTGTACCCAACAGCATTGGGGTCAGTGACCCACTTAACAGTAAACCCAGTGGCCGAAACATTGGCAACCGTCACCTTCAGGTCAAACTGGGGTATACTGTCCGTTGCGATGGTGACTTTTTTAGATGGAGTTCCTTCCCCTGCTGAGGTTACCGCTGTGACCTGTGGGTTAATTAATTATTAATGACGGGGCTACAGAAATAATGAAGTCAGATTTGATCAAGTGTTTTGTGTTGATATTTATGTCAAAGAATGTGTGTAGTATGGTCATAACGGCTAAGTATAATAGAGGCGTAGCGACCCTTCCCGGCGCCGGGGACAAACTTTCAATTTGCATCCCCCCCTCAAACTTTTGATTTGCACCCCACCTCAAACTTTCAATTTGGCGCCCCCCCTCGCTACGCCTCTGAAGTATAATTAAGAAAAAGTGTGTGCATAATTAAGACATAAAGGCTGAGTATATTCAAAATATATGTGTATAATTAAGTCATAATGGCTGAGTATAATCAAGAATATATGTGTATAATTAATTCATAATGACAGTGATCAAGTAGATCTGTGTGTGTAAAATTAAGTAGTAATGGCTGTATATAATTAGGAATATGGTTACAATTAAATCATAACAGCAGTGTATAGTCAACATTGTATGAGCACAAACAATCCTTAACAAAATAATAGCTGTGTAAAAATCAAGAATATGTGTGAATTTAAAAACAAAACTAAGTGGCCAAACTAAAAAACAAATACAGCAATCCCCTGTTATGTAATTTATAACAGGGGGTAGACAATGCTTTTGGGGCTAAAATAAAGGAAAGCTGTTTGTTCTTTAGGCATCCCTAAAGTTTCTTTAAATTAGAACAAAACTATCACATCATTATTTTCATCAAATTCAATCCCCAAAGTTAAAAGGATCAAACTGATCATTTATTTTTGTTAATGAAAGTAAAGAAACAAACTAAAAAAAAAAACACCCCACTAAAACTCACCCAAAAATCATAAGTCTTGCCCTTTTCAATCTGCTCCACTACGCTTGTCTGGTAGTCCACATTTTTCAACTGCTGGTATTGGCCTGTTATGGTTTTAGACAGGACTTCCCCTGCAGACACACCTTTGCTGTCCACTTGTTGGTAATAGACCTGAGAACACATTGTTTTCACATTTCAAATAGACATTAGGATACTGCGAGCAATACCTTTTTTAATTAATTTTACACTTTAAATAGACATTAAGATTCTGAGTTCAATACTTTTTAACTGTTTTCACACTTCAAATAGACATTAGGATTCTGGGTTCAATACATTTTATATGTTTTCACACTTCAAATAGACATTAGGATACTGCGATCAATACCTTTTTTAATTAATTTTTACACTTTAAATAGACATTAAGATTCTGAGTTCAATACTTTTTATGTTTTCGCACTTCAAATAGACATTAGGATTCTGGGTTCAATACATTTTATATGTTTTTACACTTCAAATAGACATTAGGATACTGCCATCAATACCTTTTTTAATTAATTTTTACACTTTAAATAGACATTAAGATTCTGAGTTCAATACTTTTTATATGTTTTCGCACTTCAAATAGACATTAGGATTCTGGGTTCAATACATTTTATATGTTTTCAACCTTCAACTAGACATTAGGATTGTGGGTTTGATCCATTTTATATGCTTTTACACTTCAAATTGACATTAGGATTCTGAGATTATTACTTTTTATCTCTACATCTGAAGACAAAAAATATTCAAATTAAATAAAAACTAAACAAACAGATAGTATTATATGAAAAAAATTAATATATAACATATATTTAATACACAGTCATACACATATAAAAATGACAAATAATAAATATAAAATATAGATTAAAGGAATGGTAAAATATAAAAATATCATGAGAAACAGCATAAGACAATTTTTTGGCACACCAAACAAGTTGATGTGGGATTGCGTGGTCAACTAGCAGAGCTTATGACTGCTACCCTAAAGACCCAAGTTTGGATCCTAGGCTTGAGTCAGTAGGATATTCCTGAGCCCACCCAGCTCTGATAGGTACCTGACTCACATCAGGGAAACAAAGCCGGCTGGGCATAGTGCTGACAACACAATCTCCTTGTATGCTGAAGTCATGCAACAGATGAACTCTACTTCATCTGCACCTTATGTTTTGGGCAGGAACGGGAAAACACTATGTGAACGGCCATAGCATTAAATTTTTAAAATACCAAAATATTCATAATCGCGAATTATTTAATCCAGCTAAAGACGTCCATTACATAGAACAAAATCATTCTACTATAAACAACACCCTATTTTCGCCTACACTTTTCTGAACCAAACTTTGATGTGTCATGAAATTAAATAATTATTTTGATTTTTTTTCCGAAAAAAAAACCAACTTCCAACTGTAATTTATTAATTAGATTGTTTTCATAAGAAAAAAAAATTAATTTATAACTAAAATATATCAAACAGATTGTGTTTCCATAATAAAAACACATTTACAACTATATCATATAGATAGTGTTCCCATTAGAAAAACTATCACCTATTCTGTAATTTTTGTTAATAGAAAAAAAACACTTCTCTATCATATTGTATATTTTCATCAGAAAGGTCTCGGTGTGGTCGAGTCGGTTAAGCTCATGGTTACCGAAAAGTTTCGAGTTCGAACCCTCGGGCAGATGAGTCTCGTTAGCTGGGGGACAGCCACTCTTCTAGGAGAGACAACTCCAAAATCAAACAACTTACCACATAGCTAATAATTTTCCCATTAGCTGCATCAGGTTTCTTCCACTGGACATCCACAATGTAAGTGACCGGGTAGTTCTCCAGTCGCAGGGCTGTCGTCACAGACTTGGGTTCAGATGGCACTGATGATAAACAGATATTTTAATTAAACCTGCTCGTTTGAGTCGACCCAGCTCTGATGGGTACCTGGCTCACATTAGGGAAATTAATTGTGGCTGGGCATAGAGCATATCCCTTCACATGCAGGGGCCACAGAAACAGGTGAAATCTACTTCAATTGCCACATGGACCATCAGGTTCAAAACGGTACTGTACTTGCTTGTTTATTCATCATAAGTGTTTGTTAAGGGGCAATCATGGCAAAATAGAATGTACTACAGTATTTAGACACAGGGAAAGATATTTGAGATTTTTTTTCTGGCTTAACAAAAAAAAAAGACTTTTTATACAAATGACCCACTATTTCCTCTTTTAAATGATTTAAAAGTGTCAAATAGCTATCTCAAAACGTGCATTTTTTTTTAAACAAACGATTAAACTGATTTTGTGTCTACTTCATTATTTAAATGGTTGAAGGGCTTAAATGGGTAACATGTTTAATTTGTGTTAAATGGAAACAGATGATGTTTAAATAATTACCAAATTCTCAACAGGTTTTCCAACAAATTCAAATAAAGACAATTTAAAAAGGTTTAAATTGTTTTTGTTTTCTTTTTAGATAGAAAAGCATGCTGACAATTTTTTTTTCAATTCCCATTTAGTTTTTGGGTTGTCTTGAAGAAAACAAGCAGTGATGGTAGAGAGAAAACCTAAACTCTGGTAATTTAACTCACACCTATTGTAAGTTGGCATTTTACTGGCCTCTTAAATTTTGTCTTAAAAGATTAAGAAACATGTAGCAATGAGAAAAATATAACACTCACAGCCATCTAAAGTGGGCATTTCACTGGTGTCTTAAATTTTGTCTTAAAAGAAACAGGTAGCAATGAGAAAAATATAAAACTCACAGCCGTCTAAAGTGGGCGTTTCACTGGCCTCTTAAATTTTGTCTTAAAAGAAACATGTAGCAATGAGAAAAATATAAAACTCACAACCATCTAAAGTGGACATTTCACTGGTGTCAACTGGGCAGAGTCTCTTGGAGGTGGTCTGGAAGAAAACAAAGACGTATGGTGTGGCTGGCTTCAGCCCGAGTATTGTGTCATCTGATCCAGAAATTCTTGAAAAGTTTTTCCAGGTCAAGTTGGCTTTAGGGAGATCAGGCACTTTTTCTCTGTTGGAAACAGTTTCACAAACAGTTTAAATACTCAGAAATCAATTTATACAAATGTAGAAGGGCGGCGTGGCCTAGCAGTAGAGAATCAGGGTGCAAACCCGAAAGTCTCGAGTTCGAATCTGGGTTCAAAACAGTAGAGCGTCTGAGTCCAACCAGCACTGATGGGTACCTAACTCACGTTAGGGAAAGTAAAGGCAGCTGGGCATGGTGTTGACCACATTATCCTTTTGTATGCCGAGGTCATTAAAACAGATTATTTTGCAGAAGTTTTTAATAGTAGTCTGGGTCATTGTATTTCTAGAGTTGGCATTTTTAGTTATGTTTTTTTTTCTTGTAGTTTTCCCATTCAGTTGATTTTGGATTTTATAGTGATTTTTTTTTGTAAAACAACTCAAAAAATAAAAGAATAAGAATGCATGTTAAATAATTGTTATCACTAATTTTCCTGACAGAGGCATATTTTTTCCTGAAAAAATTATTTATCTTTTCTTCTGTAAAACTGAGTAATTTTCTTTCTTCAATAAATAAGTTATTAGTCAAGTGAAACATGAAAATAGTTTAAGTGTTAAAGAGATAAGACTTGACTCTTGCTTAATGTTACTTACGCATAGGAGATTAAGTTGGCACCAAGGGAAACAAAATGCATGCTTGTATTTGTGGGAGTCAAGTAAACATGTTGTCGGCCAAGACTTTGGCAATCTGTAAATAGAATTGTATTTTTATTATATCTTTAATTTTTATTATATTTTCAATTGCATAAACATTTGTAAATTTGTATAATTATTCCGAAAACCAACAGGAATGACAAACATAATTTTTTGTTATAGCCAACAGGGCAAATCAGGTGGTTTCAACTTTGACATACAATAGGATGCATAGCCTCACCTCCCAGAAGTCTTTAATTTTCACAAAGTATGCTGGGTACTAAACAGTGCTAAGTTGACTCATGAACCTAGATCTATGCATTGTGTGATCATAACCATAACATAAAAACTAAGCTCCACACATCAAAAACAATCCCTCACAAGAAACAACACACACATTGAAGACCCTCCATTACAGCCTATAGCTTGATGTATACAAGAAACAACACAAGCAGTGAATGAAGACCCTCCATTACAGCCCGTAGCTTATACAACAAGCAACACAAGCAGTGAAGACCCTCCATTACAACCCATAGCTTATACAACAAGCAACACAAGCAGTGAAGACCTTCCATTACAGCACATAGCTTGATGTATACAAGAAACAACACAAGCAGTGAAGACCCTCCATTACAGTTATCCTCGTCCATACAACCCATAGCTTGATATATACCAGAAACAACACAAGCAGTGAAGAGCCTACATTACAGCCCATAGCTTATACCAGAAAACACAAGCAATTTTGAACCACCATTAGAAGCCTATAGCTTGTACAAGAAACAACACACACAGTGAAGACCCTCCATTACAGCCCATAGCTTGATGTATACAAGAAACAACACAAGCAATTTTGATCCACCATTACAGCCCAAAGCTTATACAAGAACAACACACACAGTGAAGACCCTCCATTACAGCACATAGCTTGATGTGTATCAGAAACAACACAAGCAGTGTAGACCTTCCATTACAGCCCATAGCTTGATGTATACAAGAAACAACACAAGCAGTGAAGACCCTCCATTACAGCACATAGCTTGATGTACAATAAACAACACAAGCAGTGAAGACCCTCCATTACATCCCATAGCTTGAAGTATACCAGAAACAACACAAGCAGTGAAGACCCTCCATTACAGTTATCCTCGTCCATACAACCCATAGCTTGATATATACAAGAAACAACACAAGCAGTGAAGACCCTGCAGTACAGCCCATAGCTTGTACATCAAACAACACAAGCAGTGCAGGCCTTCCATTACATCCCATAGCTTGAAGTATACCAGAAACAACACAAGCAGTGAAGACCCTCCATTACAGCCCATAGTTTGTTCATCAAACAACACAAACACAGTGAAGACCCTCATTACATCCCATAGCTTGAAGTATACCAGAAACAACACACACAGTGAAGACCCTCCATTACAGACCATAGCTTATACAAGAACAACACAAGCAGTGAAGACCCTCCATTACAGCCCATAGCTTGATATATACAAGAAACAACACACACAGTGAAGACCCTCCATTACAGCCCATAGTTTGTTCATCAAACAACACAAACACAGTGCTGACCCACCATAACAGTTATCCTCGTCCATGCTGTTACCCACACAGTCCTTCTGGTTGTCACACACCTGGACCCAGGAGATGCACGTCATCTTGGTGTTGTTGCACTTGACCTGTCCAGGCAGGCACTCGTAAGGTGCTAAAAAAATATAAGGTGCTGAAAACATTGGGTGCTAAACTCAAGGTGCTATGACCCTTACAGGTCATGTATTGATGCATGGTAGATGGCGTGGCCTAGCGGTAGAGCACTAGACTGCAAAGTGTCTCGAGTTCGAAACCGGGTTCCTGAGTCTGTGAGTCCACCCAGGTCTGATTGGCATCTAACTCACGTTAGAGAAACAAAGGAGGCTTGACATAGTGCTGACCGCGCTAACCCGCTGTATGTCAAGGTCATTGTAACAGATGAACTCTACTTCCTCTGCCACATGTGTCTTGGGCACAAACGAGAAAAGATGAAGATTGATGCATTGCCACAGAAAGACATCCAAACCCCACCCCTCTGCCTTTAAAATAAGTACTTAGATTAAAGGCAAATATGTTGTTTTGGGGTTGAGTGTATCATTAATATTACATTAAGAAACTTTGGCTAACAGCACATGACTATACTTAACATGGGAGGTAAGCAAGCGTTGACATAAATTGTGAGCATAAAAAAGGAAAATAAGTTATTTTTTAACAGATTTAATAAACCATAAAATAATTGAGCATCACAATATTCACCTGCTATGACTCCATCACCTAGATTAAAAAACAAAAACAAAAAATTACATTTATTTTTTGTGACCAATCAATAGAAAATATACATAAAATGTAGTTACTAGATTAAAAACAAAATCATTAGGTAAGGGTAATTTGTTGTTTCATATATGCTTTCTAATCTGGCAGGTAGTTAATTTCTGTTCATTTGCTTTTTTATAAAAGAGATTGCTCAAACTCCTCCTTTACAATAAAGTTGAATTAGCTTTAAAATTTAAAATTTACTTTCTCGTATATACGAAGTATAGAGAAAGTCTTGTAATCGTGCAAAAAAAAAATCGAGATTTTTACAAATTTCGACGTTTTACACCTCACTGATACGGAAAAACATAATTTTGCAATCTTGTCCGTATGTCTGTGTGTCTGTCTGTCTGTCTGTGTGTGTGTGTGTCCGTGTGTAAACACGATAACTTGAGTACCATTACAGCTAGGTTGATGAAATTTCATATATAAGTATTTTATCAAAATTGTAGATCCGTATCAACTTTTGAGCGATTTCCGATAACCGGAAGTGGTACTTTTCCTACTTTGAATTTTTCAAAAGCCTATAACTTGAGTACTATTTCAGATAGATGAATGAAATTTCACATGTAAGTAAAAGATCTAATTCTCTACCTTCTGTTAAATTTTGAGTAATTTCCGTTGACCGGAAGTAGTAATTTACGCTACTTCCAATTTCTCAAAAAACGAATGTAAATTTTAAAAGTACTAATAATATTGCGCACTATTATGCGCTTTTTTATTTGGCGTTCACTTGGTGTGCAATTAATTTGTCTACGAGATTTTATTCTATTTTTAAAACTTTAAGTATTTAAAATGGATTAAAAATCATGTCTATAGCCCGAGTTCCCATCCCCTGTTATTTTATATAAGAATATTCGAGAAAGTTTAGGGGAGATCACTGCCGGTTTATTTTAACCTCTGCATTGGAGTTGTAAAATTCCCAAAATTGTTTACCAAATAAAATGATCAAATTTGGTTAAAAAACTTACATCTGTTGCTCTGGCGATAGGTCGATGCATTAATGACACTGGTGCACCGGCCATCTGCAAATAAATGGTGAATTGTGTAATAAACAAAATATTACAATGATAAAATACTAAGACTAACAAATCAAAGTTAAATAAAAATCAATGTGAATTGGAGGAAACAGAAAAACAAATCAAAACATTAGTATAAAATAGTGCATGCTTTAAATAGATCTAATAAATATGGAACAAAGGCAAAATAAAATAATTTTTAAAATGTAGCCAAAAGAAAAAAAATAAATGAAAGTAAAATAAAGCCAACAAGCCTTAGTGTTTATAATTTATGTAAAGAAAATATTTATATCAATAGAAGATCTGTAAACACTGCGCAATTTGACGGCATAGATTTAAAAATCTTGAACTGCAGGTCAAGACCAGATGACAATGCAATGTGACATTAACTTTGACATAATTTGATGTGCAATAATAATTATTTTTTTAATCATTTATATATTGCTATAAAAAGTAAAAATCTTATGGTGCTTGTATACACAATTCGATGCTTACTTTTGAGTGAGCAAATTTTAAGTCAAGTAATCTGTTATATACTTACAGCAAAGGTGTATCATAAAATTAAATATTTTTAAAAAGAAATTTTTTTCTTCTTTTTAGTGCATAAAATTTACAAAAAAGCTTGTTATTTTAAACATTTTTGGATTAATATTTTTGTTGTATCTGGCCCATTAAACAACAGACCCCCTTGCCCTCCAAATAAAAACATAATTAACTTACATGGTGGGTTGGTGGCCGTGTAATAAACACCACAGGATGGCGTGTTGCAGCAGCCCTCTTTGTGGTCGTTGAAGATGGAACAGTCCGCTGTTGAACAAAAAATAAACAAAATACTTTTTATAAACACTATTGCTACTCTCTCTCCTTTGTGGTCATTGAAGATGGAACAGTCCGCTGTAAAATAAAAAATAAACAACATGTTTTTATAAACACTATTGCTACTCTCTCCCTTTCATGGTTCACCTAGTAAGCCAAAGGTCTGGAGATCAGATCCCAGTCCGAACTCACGAACTGTAGGACGCCCCTGAGTCAACCCAGCTATGATCGATACCTGACTATGGTTGGGGAAAGTAAAGATGGCTGGGCATGGTGCCTACTGAGGTCAAGAAACATATGAACTCCTCCACCGAGGAAGAAATGCCCCAACCTGAAGCATGCCTACAGCACCCCCCTCCCCTGGACTTATTAGTAATAGTATTAGAAGAAAATATATTTTATATAGAAATACACTTAAAACAGTTTAATTTGATTTTTTAGTTATCTAATTGAACAAGTCTTATAAACCACCACACAAAACTGTATCACAAAAAAAAAATCTTATTCCATGCAGCTAGACTCAAATAAAATGTATCTTACATGCCACAGTGCCGCACTGCAGCTCATCTGAGGAGTCCATACAGTCCACTTTATTGTTGCAGCGCTTGCTGAAGGGGATACAACCCCCATCTGTCACACACTGGAACTCTGATGGTGCACACCTAGTCACATCTGTACACAGATGTCAACAAAAATATTCTGTTATTTTTTGATAAACAAAATTTTTTTAAATAGTTTTTTTTTTTAATAAACATCTGTACAGAGATGTAATAGAAAATATTCAACAAAATTGTTTAAATAATTTTTATTTTTAATTAACAGAAAAATTCTACTTGTTTTTATTAAAAAATATTTTTAGAATTAGGTAAAGGTGTTATTTTTATTATTTATACTTTAAAACGTTTTTATAAATAAACAAAAAAATTGTTATCAATTTTATTTTTGCATTTTTAGATTACTTTTTTTTTAGAAATTAACAACAACAGTGTGCTCTGTATATTTATTACATTTTTGTAAAAAAAAAACCAATAAAATAAATACTGTCATTATTTTTTAAAATATCGATTTTTTTTTTTAAATAATCTTTCTCCTAATGATCAGAATTTTTTTTTTCAATTTTAATACAAATTTTTAATAGATTTGATATAGTAACAATATTGTTTAGAAGATGGGGGATATAAAGTTCAGCAACAGACAATAACCTTTGCCTAGAAACTTGAGTGAATAAAAGAAGTATATTTTTTTCTGCTATCAGATGAGAGTAATAACTTGGGATAGCTTTGCTGTTAACTTGGTCCAGTGTAAGTCATAACTAAGTACACATCACATATTAAACAGTCAGGCATGCCATCAGACGCACAACCTCCGGCCTGTTGACCTGAGAATGACCCCTAAAGTGACCCCTTGGAATGACCCCTAAAGTGACCCCTAGTGACTTACTTTGACAGTTCCTCTCATCATCCCCTTGTGGACAGTCTGGGGTGCCATCACAGACCCAAGACTTCCACACACACATCCTCCGGCCTGTTGACCTGAGATTGACCCCTAGAATGACCCCCTAGAATGACCCCTAAAGTGACCCCTATTGACTTACTTTGACAGTTCCTCTCATCATCCCCTTGTGGACAGTCTGGGGTGCCATCACAGACCCAAGACTTCCACACACACAACCTCCTGCCAGTTGACCTTTGAGTGACCCCCTAGAATGACCCCTAAAGTGACCCCTATTGACTTACTTTGACAGTTCCTCTCATCATCCCCTTGTGGACAGTCTGGGGTGCCATCACAGACCCAAGACTTCCACACGCACAACCTCCTGCCAGTTGACCTGAGATTGACCCCTAGAATGACCCTTAAAGTGACCCCCTAGAATGACCCCTAGAGTGACCCCTTGTGACTTACTTTGACAGTTCCTCTCATCATCCCCTTGTGGACAGTCTGGGGTGCCATCACAGACCCAAGACTTCCACACGCACAACCTCCTGCCTGTTGACCTTTGAGTGACCCCCTAGAATGACCCCTTAAAGTGACCCCTAGTGACTTACTTTGACAGTTCCTCTCATCATCCCCTTGTGGACAGTCTGGGGTGCCATCACAGACCCAAGATTTCCAGACACACAACCTCCTGCCAGTATACATCTGGGTGGCACCTTCGCACATATACTGTTCCGTGCTGCAGGTGTAGTAGGGTGAGGATGGTGGTGTTGTTTCTGTTGTGTGCTCTTCGTCACCTAGCCACATCAGTTAAAATTTGTAATTAAGATAGAATACATTTTTAAGTAAAAAATAATCTTTGAAAGTATGGGTCACTTTTCAATTCATACAACTAAAATAAAAAAATTTAAATTGAAAAAAAAAAAATGTGCTAATTTTTTCTTTGTATGAGGCATAGGGCTACTTGCCAAGTTGGCCGCCCAATTTTTAAAAAAATCTTTGTATTGTGTTTTTTTTTGTTTATTACAAATTATCTTCATATTAAGCAGCAATGCTTTTATAAAACAAAACATTTGGTTTAGAAACCAACATCAATATAATTATATCTGAGCATCTGAGATATTTCTTAGTCAATAAAAAACAATGAGCACATATTTAATCTAATTTAAATTTAGATAATCGCTGCAGTGAAAAAAAAACATAGTTCACAGTCTGAGATATTTCTGACTTAATGAAATACAATGAGCACATATTTAATTCAATTTTAATCTAGACAATCACCGCAGTGAAAAAAAATATAGTTCAGAGTCTGATATTTCCAACTTAACAAAACACAATGAGCACAAGTTTCTTTTAATTTTATTTTTACATAATCTCTGCAACGAAAAAAAAAAAAAAATTCAGTGATATTCCTGAGTCCAGGCAATGCATGAAGCCCTAATGAAAATATAAGGACTTAGGCAGAACTTACAACCAGCTTCATCAGATCCATCCCCACAGTCATCAATACCATTACAATAGTCCAACCAGCTGATACAGCCACCGTTGTCACACTTTAAGGTGAGGATGCCACATTTATCAGTTCCTGGAGGTGTTGATGGAGGTAGTTCAGTGGCTGGGGAAAGATTCGGATTAGACAGATTAGGATTGGCAGGTTAAGATAAGACATGATTAGACAGATTAGGACAGAAGACAAGAGAGAGCAACATGAGATAGGTTAAGACATGATGAGACAAGAAGGAGAGGATGGGACAAGATGGGGAAGATGGGACAAGATGGGGAGGATGGGGAGGATGGGACAAGATGGGGAGGATGGGACAAGATGGGGAGGATGGGGAGGATGGGACAAGATGGGGAGGATGGGGAGGATGGGACAAGATGGGGAGGATGGGACAAGATGGGGAGGATGGGGAGGATGGGACAAGATGGGGAGGATGGGACAAAATGGGGAGGATGGGACAACATGGGGAGGATGGGACAACATGGGGAGGATGGTTCAAGATGGGGAGGATGGGAGAAGATGGGGAGGATGGGAGAAGATGGGGAGGATGGTTCAAGATGGGAGAAGATGGGGAGGATGGGACAAGATGGGGAGAATGGGACAAGATGGGGAGGATGGGACAAGATGAAGAGGATGGGACAAGATGAAGAGGATGGGACAAGATGGGGAGGATGGGACAAGATGGGGAGGATGGGAGAAGATGGGGAGGATGGGACAATTTATTTGCCCTTATGCAATGAGCCAGACAAGTAAGCAGTTAGACCAGTAGACCTTCTGGTAAACAACTACCCCTCATAGTGCTAAAAAACATCCAGATAAATGTTCAAATGAACATAGGCTTCTTATGTACAACAACAGGCTGTTGTCACTTGTAAAGACAAAATATAGTCATCAAGTTGCCTCCTCAAATAATTAGTGGCAACAAGTTATGAAGGTGGTGGTAATAAGCCAGAAAAACAACAAATATAAATTACATAATAAAACACTGCAAGCATGTGTGGAAGCATTTAAAAAATGGCGACTTAGAATGTAAAAAGAAAATGTTAATTTTTTTTATCTACTAGTGAAATGTTATACCAAATTATAGGAAGCAGGCTCAATATGTCACATAATCGTCACAGCTCATCACCCCTACTGGTATGGGTATCCACCCAAAGACTTCCAGAGCCCTCAGTCCTGTAGTGCTATCTACTCAATGTGAAGCCCATCTTAGTGGTTTTAGCCTTAAGGTCCTGTCTCCAGAAGTATTTTATCTAACATATATCAAGATGTCACTTACTGCAGTTTATTTCATCAGCACTATTAGCACAGTCTGCATCACCATCACACCTGAAGCCCACGTAAGTACAGTTTCCATCACCACAGTAAAACTCATGTTCTGGTTGAAAGTGAAAAATATTATTTTATAAAGCACAGACATATTTTATATTTTTAACAAAAAATTATTATTACAAGTAGAAAATGTTGTTGAGTAATGTAAAGGGGTATGGCATGTTTGGGTGATAGAGCTAATGAATAATAAACCAAAAGTTTCAGGTTTGGACACCGGGCTCGAGTCTTTAGTATATGCCTGAGTCGACCCAGCTCTGATGGGTACCTGAGTTAGGGAAACAAAGACAGTTCTGCATGATGCTGACCACATTATTCACCTTCATGCCAAGGTCATTGATATAGATGAACTCTACTTTATCTGCTCAGTGGGTCTTGGGCACGAACAGGAAAAGATGATGACGAGTACAATAAAGAACTCAACCCATTCATTAAATGGGACCATAAAAACTGATTAACTCTCGCAAACAAGGATACAGCTAGCAACAACTGTGATGAACACTAATTTTTTTTTAAAATGAAGAATTTTTAACATCAATGAGATAATAAAGATTATTTCAGATACAACATATTAAGTTTTTTTTCTTAACTATAAAATAGCATACTCTATTTTTTTTTTACATATTTTACCTGAACAATTAGTATGCATTTTAACATCAACTAAGTAATAAAGATTATTCCAGATAAAATAAAGTTTGTTTTTTTAAACTATAAAATAGCATACTCTATTTTGTACATATTTTACCTGAACAATTAGTATGCATTGAACATCCTAATTCATCTAAGCCATCTGAACAGTCTAGGTGGCCATCACACAGTTTGGAGTTGTTGATACATTTTCCATTGTTGCACATGAATTCCTCTTTTTTGCAGGCTAAAATACATCAATATTCACTCATTTAGTTAACAATAATGTAAATTTAAATAATAAAGCTGTGGGTAAAATTTGATTTACATACATGAATATTCACTAATTTAGTTCTAGTTAACAATAATGTGAATTTTACTACAGCTGTAGGTAAAATTTGATTTACATACATGAATATTCACTAATTTAGTTCTAGTTAACAATAATGTTAATTTAACTAAAGCTGTGGGTGAAATTTGATTCATATACATAGGAGATTTCTCTGTCCACTAAATTAAGAAAAGTAAAAGTGCTGGGTAAGTGCTGACCAGGATATCCCTATATATCCCTATATATATCACATGTATAATGCAATATGTGTTAATACATTACACTTACAACTAAAACAGCCCTCCTCATCAGAGTTATCATGACAGTCATTGTCTAAATCACATTTCCAACTACTGTCAATACAGTAGCCATTTGAGCACTTGAACTGGTTGGATGAGCAGTTTTTATCTCCTGGTAGAAGAAAAATTCATTAAATGTCTCTGTACAAAAATAAATTGTTTTTTCAAATTTAGAAGTGTGGTGTGTGCAGTTTTAAAGATTTTTATTTCCCTTAGCAGAAGAATAATTTATTCAATATTTTTGTGTAAAAAAAATGTGTTTCCAAGTTAAAATGGTGGTGTATGCAGTTTTAAAGAGTTCCTTTAAGAAAAATAATTAATTCATTTAATGTTCCTGAGAAAAAAATACACTTTTCATCTTTCAAAATGAGATAAAAATAGCATAAATTATTAACCCATCAATCAATTTTGTAGCAAATATTTTTAATCAAATAATTCTAAACCAAAACTTAATACGTCCATTCCCTTTTTTCTAAAACATGATTCTATATGGACCAATAACTAAAACTAGATTACTTAGGCGACAGGAGAGCTAATAGAAAATCACTATGACCAAGGTTAAGGCAGCAAATGGAAATGCCTACTAATTTTTACTACCCTAGTCCACACAGCTGATTCCTACCAGGCATAAGAGAAAATAAAAAATGACCAGGTACTAATCCTAACCAAAACATTTGACCCCATGGGCCATCAGGTTCAAAAGGGTACTTAGGCATATAACTAACCAAACTTGCTAGTCGTAGAAACAGGAGAATTGTACTAAATCCAGAGTAATGACCATTATGTCTAAGGTTCTACACATTGTACTGACCACAGATAATGACCATCATGTCTATATCTTTACACATTGAACTGACCACAGATAATGACCATCATGTCTAAAGCTTCATACATTGTACTGACCACAGTTAATAACCATCATGTCTAAAGCTCTACACATTGTACTGACCAGATAATGACCATCATGTCTAAAGCTCTACACATTGTACTGACCACAGATAATGACCATCATGTCTAAAGCTTCACACATTGTCCTGACCACAGTTAATAACCATCATGTCTAAAGCTCTACACATTGTACTGACCAGATAATGACCATCATGTCTAAAGCTTCACACATTGTACTGACCACAGATAATGACCATCTTGTCTATATCTCTACACATTGTACTGACCACAGATAATGACCATCATGTCTAAAGCTCTACAAACTGTACTGATCACAGTTAATGACCAACATGTCTAAAGCTCTACACACTGTACTAACCACAGTTAATGACCAACATGTCTAAAGCTCTACACATTGTACTGACCAGATAATGACCATCATGTCTAAAGCTCTACACACTGTACTGACCACAGTTAATAACCATCATGTCTAAAGCTCTACACATTGTACTGACCACACATAATGACCATCATGTCTAAAGCTCTACACATTGTACTGACCACAGTTAATGACCAACATGTCTAAAGCTCTACACATTCTACTGACCACAGTTAATGACCATCATGTCTAAAGCTTCACACATTGTACTGACCACAGTTAATGACCATCATGTCTAAAGCTCTACACACTGTACTAACCACAGTTAATGACCATCATGTCTAAAGCTTCACACATTGTACTGACCACAGTTAATGACCATCATGTCTAAAGCTTCACACATTGTACTGACCACAGTTGAGCTCATCAGATGCCAGGCCATCCCTGCAGTCATCCTCCTTGTCACACCTCCACTGTGAAGGGATACACTTGCCGCTATGGCAGGTGAACGAGTCTTTGTTGCAGGTGGTGTATGCTGGAATGCAACAAGTATACGATGTAAAAATAGTAAAAAGTAATAAACTAAAACAAAAGTAAAAACAAATTTTGTATGGCTTTATAAACAGGTGTTTGGGATGGAGTGACTTAAGCGGTAGAGCACTAGGCTGCTAACCCGAAGATCTTGAGTTCAAACCCAGGTCCAAGTCAGTAGAACATCCCTGCATCTACCGAGCTGTGATAGGTACCTAAATCATGTTAAGGACAGTAAAGGTGACTGGGCAAAGTGTTGACCACACCTTTCCTTCATACACCGAGGTCAAGAAAAATGAACTCTAATTCATCTGCCAAATAGGTCTAAAGTGGATTCTTTACTTCTTTATAAAACAGGTGTAGGACAGGGTGGCTTGGGGGTAGAGACTGTTAGCCCTGAACTCTTGTTTTGGATAGCTAGTCAGTAGACCATCCCCATGTTCACATAGCTTTGTTGAGTATGTGATTTACATTAAAGAATGAAAGAACAACTGGGCATAGTGCTAACAAACTAATTCCTTCATTTGCTAAGGACACACAAAACAGGTGAACTTTACTTCGGCTGCCCCATGGACAGCCAGGTTTAGAAGGGTGACTTTTTTAAAAAACAAATATCATAATCTAGAGTCTAAACAGAGGGTCGGCGTGGTCAAGTCGGTAAAGTTCATGGTTGCCTTGTACAAAGGTTGGACAAAGACTATGGAAGCAAATCCAAAAAGAAAAGCAGGCAAAATTGGAGTCAACAGCCTATATGGTGCATAACAAGCTGACACATATACTTAATTGTGCTGGAGGGAATCTCTTCCTTCACTAATATTAAGAACGCAGAAGAAGAAGAAAGAAGTCTAAACAACACTTCAGCTGTAAGCTAAAATAAAACAATTTTACAATGGTCTACTCACAAGAAACAAGTAACGTCGTAATGAGGTATCTCAACAATACTTACGACAATCACTTTCATCAGTGCCATCACCACAGTCATCATCACCATCACACTTCCACATCAGCAGGATGCAGTGGCCATTCCGACAGGTCAGCTTATCAATGGCACATGATCCACCTAGCAAAAAATAAACATAACATTTTATGTTACATTATTTTCACCCAGTAAGTTTTATCATAGAGGCGGTGTGGTCAAGTGGTAGAGAGCATGACTGTTTGGTTCCAGGAATGAAGTACATAGGATGTCTTTCACCCAACATCTATCAAAAACAGTCTAAAGTAATCTTTTAAAATAAAAAGTCAGTTCTATTAGCTTGCACCGGAAAAGTCACAAGTTCGAATTCAGGTTCAAGACAGTAGAATGTCCCTTAGTCCACCCAGCTCTAATGGGTACCTAAGTAAGGTTAAGAAAAGTAAAGGTGGCTGACCACATTATTATATGCCAAGGTCAAGAAACATGTGAACTACTTCATCTGCCCAATGGATAACTAGGGTCTAAAGAGGAATCTTCACTTTACTTTATTAACCTGCACCGAAACATTAAAATAATTTTTTTTTCAATCTAACCCAGCCTAGCAGTATTAATAAATCTACCAGCTCCAATGTCTGCCATAACACAATATCTGCCATAACACAATGACTAACCTGGGCTGGCTGGCGTGCAAGTACCATTGGCTTGCATAATCTCCCCTTTCTCACACAGGCAGGACTCATCTGTGGAGCCGTTTTTTTTCTCCACCAGGTACCCATCCCCACAGAGACAGGTCCTGTTCTGGTTGTTGGTCCCCGGGGTGGGTCTGGGCATGCACAGCTGGGTGCAGCGTTTGTTGTAGGTACTGCAGGCACTCATAGCTGACCAAAGGGAAGTAACAAAATTAAGATTTATAACATTGTAAAGGGAAGCAACTTTAAAAAATGATAAGAGTATTGAAATGTAAAATATTTATTAAAAGAACATGTCTTTCTAAAATCGAAAATCTAATAAGGTATTAAACAGAACACTTTAAAAAAATGTATTGTCTTTCTACAAGCAAAAATCTAAAAAGGTATTAAACAAAAACACTTTTTTAGAGAATAATTTAATTTTAAGACACATTCATACTTCTCATAAAATTTTGAATTAAATGTGCTGTTTATTTTAACAGCTGCATTAGAAGTTAGATCCAAAATTATCCTTGACCTGTCTGGAAAGCAATCCTTTCAATTGTTGCAGTTGTGGAGCTACTAGTCCCCACCCCAATGTACAACCCTGATCCGTACCCACCCTCATCACCCCCCTCCCCAATGTACTCACCATGCTGTGAGGTGTTTGATACAACCACCATCCCCATCACACTGTTGCCCTAGGTCTCTCTCCACCCCTCCACCCCCCCACCTCCCACCACACCCCCACCCTAATGTACTTACCATGCTGTGAGGTGTTTGATACCACCACCATCCCCATCACACTGCTGTGTGCTCTAGCAAATGAGTGATACAGAGTGGGCCTGACATTGTCTTGTACAAAAATTAAAGGATTATGTTGAGACACCACATACACGGAGTTCTGCAATAAAAACAAATGTAAAGGGAAATAAAATAAAACATATTCAAATTTTTAAAAAAGAGTTATCTTCCTTTGCAAACTGTCCATTTTAAACTAGAGTTAACTCCATTTAGTACATTGACTAAGAAAATAAATTTTCTTAGATGAATAAAGTTAATGCCATTGCACCAATAATTTTTTTCTAAATATTTGATGACTATTGTTTTTAATTTGTATATTACAGCTGAAGAAAAGTGCTTAAGTCTTTTACAGATCCCTAAATTTAGAATATCCAATAAGGTCAACCTTTTAGGCACCTTATTGATCCTTACATTTAACATGTTGGAAAACTGTTATGTTACTGATAGAGCCATACAATAAATAAGAACCTAATTTTTGTGGGTACCTTTCTAGTAAAGGAAAACATTTACATCTTCTTACAGATCCCTTCAATTGCACATAAAGGTAAACTTTTGTTACCTGATAGATTGTTACATCATATATAAAGGTAAACATTTAGGCTACCTTATACAATTTTACATTAAATATAAAGGTAAGCATTTTACCGTATAAATCTTTACATTATTCATAAAGGTAAACTTTTAAGCTTATGGATCCCTAAACAATACATAAAGATAAACATCTAGGTGACCTTATTGATGGTAAACTTCCCTTTTCGAACCTGATGATACTTAGGGCAAGTGAAGTTGAGTTCACCTATTTCTGTGATTTAGGCATACGAAGCGATAGTGAAGTAAGCACTATGCCCAGCCGCCTTTACTTTCTCTAACATAAGTTAGGTACCTATCAGAGCTGGGTGGACTCAGGAACATTCTACTGACTTAAAACCCGTATTCTATTGATCCCTACACAACACATAAAAGTAAACATTTATCTTACCTTATAGATCCCTTTACTAGGTAAACATTAATCTTACCTTACGAGAAAAATGGCCCGTTGAGGAAGGATACAACGGGCGCTAGGCTGATAGTGCTGTCTCTTTTCTCTAAACTAAAACCACCCCACCCCCCCCACACACACCACCCCCCCACCCCCCACACACACCACCCCCCCCCACCCCCCACACACACCACCCCCCCCCCCCCCCAAAAAAAACATGTCTACCATCACATTAAACGAAATATAATTATATACTTTTTCCAGTGCCCGCCCCCTCCCCGAAAATTCTACCCCCGCCACCGAAAATTTCAAGTACCCCCACCCCTCTCCGGGGAGGAAAAAGTCTAAACTAAAACCACCCCACCCCCCACCCCCCACACACACCACCCCCCCACCCCCCACACACACCACCCCCCCCCAACACACACACACCACCCCCCCCACCCCCCCCCCCCCCCCCCAAAAAAAAAACATGTCTACCGTCCCATTCAACGAAATATAATTATATACTTTTTCCAGTGTCCGCCCCCTCCCCGAAAATTCTACCCCCGCCATCGAAAATTTCAAGTACCCCCCACCCCTCTCCGGGGAGGAAAAAGTCTAAACTAAAACCACCCCACCCCCCACACACACCACCCCCCCCACCCCCCACACACACCACCCCCCCAACACACACACACCACCCCCCCCCCCCACCCCCCCCCAAAAAAAAAACATGTCTACCGTGTCCCATTCAACGAAATATAATTATATACTTTTTCCAGTGTCCGCCCCCTCCCCGAAAATTCTACCCCCACTACCGAAAATTTCAAGTACCCCCACCCCTCTCCGGGGAGGAAAAAGTCTAAATTAAAACCACCCCACCCCCCCCCCCCACCCCCCTAAAAAAAACATGTCTACCGTCCCATTCAACGAAATATAATTATATACTTTTTCCAGTGTCCGCCCCCTCCCCGAAAATTCTACCCCCGCCCCCGAAAATTTCAAGTACCCTCACCCCTCTCCATGGAGGAAAAAGTCTGAAAGAAACACTGGTGTCGCGCATAGCCACTACGCGAAGAATTGCATTAAAGAAATTGCAAGAAAACCACTTTTTAGATTAGACACATTAATTAGGCGGTAATTTTATTATAGAGTATCGATGAGGAAATTTCTTTTGAGTTGGGGAGGGGGGGGGGGGGGGGGCTCAGACGTTCTTACGCGGGGGTGGGGCTTCGCCCCTACCCGAAGAATTGTATGAAAGAAACTCTTCACGCAAACTACTTAGATTAGACCAAATTGCCTTTGTATTGAATGTTTACTCGATAATCAATGACGTCATATTAATGTGTGCACTATCCGGCTTGAGATTATTTTCTACTCTGTGCTAAATGTGTCGACGTCATACTTCGTTTTTCGAATTACTATGCATGTTTTTATTTTGCTTGTGTTTTCTCTACAGCGTTCTTGTCAGATAGATAGATAGATAGACAGACAGCAAAACTATTAGTATTAATAGATCCCTACACTACACATAAAGGATAACATTTCTCTTACCTTATAGATCCCTACACCTGATATCCCAGACAGGTGAGCCACAGCCACAGACGTGACTGGCGCCCCAAAGATGGAGGAACTGTAGAGCATGGAGTTGCTAGGGTTGACCCACAGGAGACGCTCGGTCGCAATGTCCAGTGTCAGCAGGATACTGGACGTCACATAGGAGCTGTTGGCCACCATTGTCATGTTCTTGTCAGAGCCATCCATAACAGCACGGAATATGGAATACGTTGAGTTGGAATTGTCATTGGCACCAACATACAAGAGGTACCTGAAATAATATGGAATATGTTGCACCAACATACAAGAGGTACCTGAAATAATATGGAATATGTTGAGTTGGAATAGTCATTGGCACCAACATACAAGAGGTACCTGAAATAATATGGAATATGTTGAGTTGGAATTGTCATTGGCACCAACATACAAGAGGTACCTGAAATAATATGGAATATGTTGCACCAACATACAAGAGGTACCTGAAATCATATGGAATATGTTGCAAAGACATACAAGAGGTACCTGAAATAATATAGAATATGTTGAGTTGGAATTGTCATTGGCATCAACATACAAGAGGTACCTGAAATAATATGGAATATGTTGCACCAACATACAAGAGGTACCTGAAATAATATGGAATATGTTGAGTTGCAATTATCATTGGCACCAACATACAAGAGGTACCTGAAATAATATGGAATATGTTGAGTTGGAATTGTCATTGGCACCAACATACAAGAGGTACCTGAAATAATATGGAATATGTTGCACCAACATACAAGAGGTACCTGAAATAATATGGAATATGTTGAGTTGCAATTATCATTGGCACCAACATACAAGAGGTACCTGAAATAATATGGAATATGTTGAGTTGGAATTGTCATATTTATTTTGGCAGAGATAAAAAGTAAGTAAGGTAACCTTTTGAATCTGACAGTCCATGAAGAAGGTGAAACAGAATTCACCTATTTTAGTAACCTCAGCATATGAAGGAACAGTGTGGTTAGCACTATACCCAGCCACCTTTATTTCCCTAATGTAAGTAGGATACCCATCAGAGCTGGGTGGTCTGACACAAATCCGAGATTGGAACTTGAGATTTTCCAGCTAGCAGTCACGCGCTCTACCATCTAACCATGTTGGCAGAGACCCCCTCCAACGTTACAATTCAGGATGAAGAAGACCTAATGCACCTACCCATGGTGTGGATCAACAACAATGGCCCTCGGCCTGTACACTCCCTGAGCCTCGCCGTAGATGGTCTTCTGGTACCGGCCGTCCACGTTTACCACTCGGATGGTGTTACTCATGGGGTCAGTGAAGTAGATGTTCCTCCCTGTCCAGTCAAATGCCATGTGGGCCACTTCACTGTGGCCCTGGTGACCTTTGACCTCAGTCATCAGCACTGGTAGGTCAGAGCTGAGGCACTTTTTCTGGTGAAAGGAAATCATTGGCGTTAGACAGAGAAATGAGCAAGTGGTCTTTTACAAACAATCAATGGTGATAGCAACATAGGCAGTTTTAGGCATAACATTTAGTGAGAGGGTGAAATAAGCCACATCAGACATATAAATGAGCTAGGGGTATTTAAAAACAGTCAATGGTGATAGCAACATGGGCAGTTTTAGGCCTCCACCAACATACCTGGATAGCATAGCCTTCAACAACATACATGACACAGTTCATCTGGTAATCAAAGATGGCTGGAACACTGGACACCATGGAACTATCTGTAAACATCAGCACAGCTTCGCCTGAGCTTAGGTCCACCATAGACACGGCATTAAGTTCCGTTATCAAAAGAAATTCACTTCTCTCTGTAATAAAGAAAAAAATATTTAAAAGCAAGTGTACATATATATATATATATATATATATATATATATATATATATATATATATATATATATATATATATATATATATATATATATATATATATATATGCACAAACAAAAAATCATAAGTATGCAATGTATATGTAGAATCGTTTATAGACACAAGAGTATCAAAAACAAAAACATTCTTTTTTTTAACAATTAACAACCTCAATGACAATGACATTGTATACATCTGTTAACAAATTTAACCCCACTCTTCCCTGCCAAGAGTAAATCTATTTTTAAACCCTATAACACATGATGTTTCAGAATTCTGAATGTTTCCAGCTAGTAGCATCCACTGTATTCTTTACCGGACAAAATTGACTCACACTTCTTAATCAAATACAAATCCATTTTGTTACTAGCAATTTTTTTTTTTTAATTTGCACCTGTCATTTATTTCATGGACATGATCAAGAAAATAATTCAGGCTGTACATGAATATATATAACAACTGAAGTTTTTAAAATTCAACATTTTACTACTGGCAGTTGAATATCATAGACCACTGCCTTCCTGCTTTATACTGTATTTTTAAGTATTCCACTATTTTTTTTACAGTATTTCACTAAAGTGATTTACATTGCATAACAATTATAAAGATACTTTCAAGAATGTAGGTAATGTGTTTTCCAGCTATTTGTTTTTTCCAGTATTACTACCATTTCACACAACCTACGCTAACCCTATCCTTAGACCAGACCCTGAATTCTAACCCTGACCCTTTATTGATATCAGTAAAAAAACAACTATAATTCCATACTGTGTAAACCTTAAGGGTAACGCTATCCTTAGTCTAGGTAATTCTAACACTGACCTTTTATTGATATCAATCCTGTGTTAGCCTTCTAGTGTTCATACAAGAACCAAAACTAACCAGAAAATATTAGACTAATACCCTGGATGGGACAGGCATATACTAATAGAAAATATTAGACTAATACCTTGGATTAGGCAGGCATATGCTAACAGAAAATATTAGACTAATACCTTGGATTGGACAGGCATATTGAATAGGTCCATATCTGTGGTCTTGGCCGCCTTCACAAGTGTCCCCAGCAACTTTACGGTAACTGGAAAATTTTAACAGGCCATTAAATAAATAGTAAACAAGCTGAAATGGTTTCTAAATTTGAATATATATCAGAGTTGAATCTAAATGTAAATATTATAGAGTTTAATTTAAATATGAATACTATACTAGAGTTTAATCTAAATGTAAAAAAAAAAGAGTATGGTTAGAATATCTAATTGAAGAGTTTAATTTTTAAGGGGTTTAGTTCTGTTTTATTTGTTATCAGTTAAGTAAAAACAAAAACAATGTTTTAAAGGGTCTTGCATAAATGATGAGGTGGAAGGCTCAGAATTTTATCAGGCTCTGCAACATTGGGGGAGGAGGTTCTAAAAATTTGGTGTAGTGTTTATTTAGTATTTTTTGCAAAGGACAAAATTGATGATATACATGGACAATTTAATGAGTCGGATCCGTAGATATTAGAAACAAACTACCCCGCTTATTTGAGCCAAATTGTGGGATGAAACTGGGGTAGAAAGCAAAAGCTTAGGAAGTTTATAGGTCCTGCAACCAGCAAAGGGGTTCTAGAAATGCTTCTTCATACTAAGAATGACACCATCTAACAAGAGAAAATCCTGAATTCTTCACACTGTTTTATCTGAATAATGAGCATTCCTAGTCTGGTCATGACCATCTAACTAGAGGAAATGCTCAGTTTTTCATACAGTTTTAATCTGCCTGGCTAATGAGCATTCTTTATGCTGGTCATGAACATCTAACTCAGGGGTCTCCAAACTTTTCAGTCCGAGGGCCGCATTAACTATCAAATTTCAGTTCGGGGGCCAGTTTCTTCCAGGCATGTCTTTGATTTTTCTAAGCAAGGTTCCTCAGCCATCACCAACAAACGTTTTTTCCTTGGACAAAAAGATCTCCGCTGGCCGGATGAGAGGACTTCGAGGGCTGCATCCGGCCCGCTGGCCATAGTTTGGAGACCCCTGATCTAACTAGTGAGAGAGTAACCAAGTTAAAGATGAAACCCACCCTCTAGAGAAGCTGTAGAAAGTTCCTAGAGCAGGTCATGACCATCTAACTAGTGAGAGAGTAACCAACTTAAACAAGAAACCCACCCTCTAGAGAAGCTGTAGAAAGTTCCAGGAGGACAGTGACTAGGTATGGCGTTGATGCTGGAAAAATTAGAATGCTGCCTGCAAACTGTCTCCGACTCTGTTGCTCGGTACTCCAGTTCTAAGGTGTTCTCCTCAAACCCAAAGTCACTGAAAAGAAGTTTTAAAACCAGTGAACAAAATAATTTTTTTAACTGGTCATTAGACTTACAAAACCAATGCTCTTGAAATCATGTAACAATAATTCACATCAATTTAAAAGTTCTGATTTCAAGGTTTATAGGGTAGGTGAACATAAGTAAATATGTATGACAATGAATGCCAGCAAGTTAAACTATTTGGTCAGAAGCTATTAATTTCACTAAACCAAATGCCTGAATAAGTTCCTATGGGAGTAGGTATGGAGATTTGAGCATAAGCTTATCTTGTACAGGTTACCCATAGTGGTTTATATTGTGTAGCGGTCACAGTTGCTTGTACCCCCCCCCCCCCCTCCCCACTACCACAGCAAATTAGTTTTTACAGGTATGGGGATTGAGGCAGAGGTTACAACTGTGCACATGACTTGGTCTATTTATATACTGTACACATCACTGTGTGTTGTCATTGACCCACCCCACCCCTCCCCTACCACCACCATTAACAAACCAATTGACCACAATTTGAATTCACAACCATCATTTTGCTGTCTAGCCAAAATGTAATCAAGTTCAGTCTACCAGCATTACCATCATCTAACCTAAATGTAATCAAGTCAACCAGCATTACCACCATCTAACCTAACTATAATCAAATCAAGTCAACCAGCATTACCACCATCTAACCTCAATATAATCAAGTCAACCAGCATTACCATCATCTAACCAAAATGCATCAAGTCAACCAGCATTATCATCATCTAACCTAACTATAATCAAGTCAACCAGCATTACCATCATCTAACCTAACTATAATCAAGTCAACCAGCATTACCATCATCTAACCAAACTATAATCAAGTCAACCAGCATTACCACCATCTAACCTAACTATAATCAAATCAAGACAACCAGCATTACCACCATCTAACCTCACTATAATCAAGTCAACCAGCATTACCATCATCTAACCAAAATGCATCAAGTCAACCAACATTACCATCATCTAACCTAAATGTAATCAAGTCAACCAGCATTACCAACATCTAACCTAACTATAATCAAGTCTTCCAGCATTACCATCATCTAACCTAAATGTAATCAAGTCAACCAGCATTACCAACATCTAACCTAAATGTAATCAAGTCAACCAGCATTACCAACATCTAACCTAAATGTAATCAAGTCAACCAGCATTACCATCATCTAACCTAACTATAATCAAGTCAACCAGCATTACCATCATCTAACCATTACCATCATCTAACCATTATCATCATCTAACCTAACTATAATCAAGTCTACCAGCATTACCATCATCTAACCTAACTATAATCAAGTCAACCAGCATTACCATCATCTAACTTAACTATAATCAATTCAACCAGCATTACCATTCAAAATCTTCTCTAGTACATGCACAGTTTCTGACTTCGGATTTCCTGACAAAGTCTTCACCGTTGTAGCACACCCTGCGCTCCAGACGCCGCTGGTACTGGGTGATGTGACCCAGCAGACACCCATCATCTCCTGGCAGGTCATCGTCTATGGACCACATTTTGTAATCGGACGCGTTGCATTTGCGGCCTGGAATTTACAATCATTGTAATTATAATGCTGGGATATTTAATTTAGACATGATGAGATGATTAAATATCCTCATCAAAACTGATAAAAAGCAGATTTAAGACACCACCTTAGATTTTACAACCTATCCTTAAAGAGATAAAAACTAATTCTAAAAAGCCCAACATGACACTAAGCTGATCTGAAAAACCTCACCTACTGTTAAGTATAAAAAGCCGAAACTACCACTTAAAAATAAATAGCCCAACCTACCTCAAATAAGCTCTATATACTACTAAGAAGGTATAAAAAGTCCAATCTATCAGCAAAGACAGGTATAAAAAGCCCAATGTACCATTAAACATAAAAAAACCTCATATTACTGGTAAATAGGTATAAAAAGCCGAACCTATCACTAAGCAGGTATAAAAAGCCCAACCTATCACTAAGCAGGTATAAAAAGCCCAACCTATCACTAAGCAGGTACAAAAAGCCCAACCTATCACTAAGCAGGTACAAAAAGCCCAACCTATCACTAAGCATATATACAAAGCCCAACCTACCATTAAACATAAAAACCCCATATACTACTAAGCAGGTACAAAAAGCTCAACCTATCACCAAGCAGATATCAAAAGCCCAACCTATCACTAAGCAGGTATCAAAAGCCCAACCTATCACCAAGCAGGTATCAGAAGCCCAACCTATCACCAAGCAGATATCAAAAGCCCAACCTATCCCCAAGCAGGTATCAAAAGGCCAACCTACCATTGAACAGGGAGGTAAAGTTGACCTGCAGCACCACCCAACTGTGGCCGTGGCCTGTTGCCAGGGAACCAAACAAGGAGAAGACGGTAGTGTTCTCCCCTGGCTCAGTCAGCAGCCCATAGATCTTGATCATGTCTGAGGAAATCCTGTAGCTGCTCCAAGTCTCCCCCTCATCCATGGAGTATCTGCAGATTGTCAGAGAAAAATTAAATTTGTTTTTTTTTAAATAAAATACACGCATTTTAACAAAAACATGTTTTAATGTTGAGAATCATCTTTTATTTCAAAGATGTATGTCTAAAAGATTGTGGCACTTTGTAAAAAAATAAATTAAAATTTGAATTTTTTGCATCACTTTTATATGCTTGAAGAAATGAATATCTTTAAAGTCAAAACCTTTCTATGTTTTAACGTATGATTTGTGTTAACAAACGACTATCATGAATGTTTTACAAAGAGATGTACAAAATATTGTTGTCAATGTTTTCCAATAGGTTTCTGAACAACAGCTCGTTTTATGTGTTAGGTTTATTACTGCCCCTTCCTTTCCTCATTTATAGAAATTTAATATACTTTATGCTAAATTTTACATAGACAAACATTCTTTAAAGACCTAAGTCCTTTAGATATTCTACAGTCCAACCAGCTCTGATGGGGGTATCCTGACCAGTAGCGTAGCAAGGGGGGGGGGGGGGGACATATGTCCCCGGGCGCCGAGCTTAGGGGGTGCCAAAATGGGTTGGAAAAATAAACTGAAAGGTTGAGGGGGGTGCAAATTGAAAGTTTGGGGGGGGGTGCAAATCAAAATCTCGAGGGGGGGTGCAAATCGAAAGTTTGAGGTGGGGTGCAAATCAAAATCTCGAGGGGGGGGTTGCAAATCAAAAGTTTGAGGGGGGGTGCAAATCGAAAAGTTTGTCCCCGAGCGCCGGGAAGGGTCGCTACGCCTCTGATCCTGACTCAAACATGTAAAATAAATAATACTAATGATAAATAAGTCGTTGTGCTGACCACACAATCTCCTCATATTAAGAGGAAAAAAAAAATAACGTGTACGCCCTGCTTTATCAGCCCAAATATAAAATCTTCTATAATTTAAAGCAAGGATTATGGAGTGGGATCAGTATAAAGATCAGTTCTGACTGGGTACTACACATCTAACTTGGAGTAAATTTTGACTATCAGCTCATTAGATCAGCTGAGACAAGGGAGATATGGGTGTCAATATCAAAAACATTGGCTGACTGTTGACAGGCAATGTAAATGCCAGGTACACCAATGATTTTGGTCAAGCAACTCATCTAGCAGAGCAATCCAAAATCAAATAAGTACTGCATTGCTGATTGTTCATGAGTGAACAAATGCTATGGAAACAAATCCAGAAAGAAAAGCAGGCTGAAGTCAGAGTCAAGGGTCAATATAGCACATAACATGTTGACACTCAATACTAAATTATAATTTGAGATGGATTTCCACCAACACCAATTAAGTAATGGTAAAAGTAAGTTTTCTATATAAATTCCATTTCCCCCAAAAATGTGCCTGGAAGAAACTCTGATTTAGCTGCCATTGAGAGAAAGTGTTCTGAAAAAAATAAAGTGTTTTGAAAGAGAAAAACAGTTTTGAAAGAGAATGTGTTTTGACACTTACAAAATCTCATCCACTGCCATGGCTTGTCTCACTGCCACTAGTATTCCACCATGATCTGCCGCCATATACAGGTAGTTGCCAGTCAGAATCTGGTGCCATGTGATGCCAGCATTTCTGGACAGGTAAACATCAGGGTTTCCTTTGATGCTTTGACCAATGATACCAGAGGCAATCACCAGACCTGAAGGATTTTAAAAGATTGTGTTTGTTTTAAAACAACCTTATTAAATTTGTTTAAAGCATGTCACATTTTAAGTTTTGTTCTGGATCATCAAATCCTTGTTTTTATATGACTGTATAAAATATGATTCAGAAGTGAGTAAAGAATTGTGATTTTGAGATTCTCTTATTACTACTTCCAAGTGTTTTGCATAATTTTTATTTTTGGTTTAAAAAATAATCATCAAATGAATTTTTAATGAATTTCATTTTTAAAAATTCTTAAAATAGATAGCCTATACCACATTTATACAGTGTTGCCATTAAAATCATAAAAAAGTGGTAGTTAAACAGGGTAAAGGAATCCCTTACAAACACTAGAATTAAGTACGAAGATGAAGAAGCAGGATAAAATGCCTCGAACAGTGAGGGGAGTCACAAAACATCATGTAATTCAATTTTTATTATCTTTTTAAGATTTGGGTATACAAGGGAAGAGACCAGGTCTAACTGTTGCTTCCATTATAGATTGTAGAGCTATGGTGTGACCCAGGGGTGTAGCCAAGAGGGGGTTGTTAGAGAACCACCACACCCCCATGACAATCATGACAACACCACTGTTATGACCAATAAATGATCTGGCGTTACGATTCATCTTACTGTATTCTAGTTGAGTAACTGACTTAACAAATTCAAGAAAAATCTAACCTGGAGCAGAGTCTTGAGTTAATATAGACTGGGCACTGATGTCACGATTCATCTTACTGTATTCTTGGGTCAGGTGAAGAGAACAGTTGTTTGACTGAAGAAAAAAGATTAATCACATCACTAGTTTAAACAATACTTCATCCCTACATTGGCCATTAGGGCTGTTTTATTTACAGTATTTGTAAAGTGTTGGCTACAATGAGTAAACATCCAGTGGATACACGCCAAAATCCAAAACCCAGATGAAACATCACTTTGGTTCTAGTTTCAACCTACTATACAAGGCTTAAATGCACGTTGTGTCTCTGTGGGGGACATGCATTTAGAAAAAAACTCAACTTGATCACCACTGCATAATTTTTTTAAAGTGTTTATTTTTTTAAATTATAAGCAAAATTGATGATTTTATTGATCATTTTCAAACTCAATTTTCATTTTACAACTTATCATTTTGATTGGCATAATGTGCAAAGAACAAAATTCCAATTTTGATTGAAAAAAGTATAAAATTAGGTCTATTTGTACCAAATACTTCCTTTGATATATGACTTACTATTTTTTTGCCTTGCTGCAAAGAAATAGTTTATTTTTAACCCTTTACCAGTGAACAGATTCTGACTTATAGTTTAATTTTAACCCTTTACCAGTCAACAGATTCTGACTTTTAGTTTAATTTCAACCCTTTACCAGTGAACAGACTCTGACTCACCAGTGAACAGTTGTTGAACCTATGACCAATGGTGTAGTTGGGGGCCTGAATGCGCTGCCACTGCCCACCCTTGTCAAAGGAGATCAGGGTGATCTGGGCGTCAATATCAAAGACATTGGTTGACTGTTGGGAGGCGATGTAGATGCCAGGTATCCCATTGACTTTGGTCAAGTCGACAAAAGCGTCTTTTGGAAACAATCTGAAAAAAAATATTATAAATAAGTATAAGAGGAGAACAACGAACATATAAGAAAATGTATATGTAGATTATGATGGTGTTGAATAGTCTTATAAGCAGACCCGGATCAAACTGATTTAATTTCAATTTATAAAAACAGTTTAGGTTGAAAAGAATGAAATGATGCCTATTCATTTATTTATTCAATAACGATAAAGCCAAGATTGAGAGGGACAAAGGGGTCAGAGTGGTCGAGTCAGTAAAGCTCATGGTTGTTAAACCGAAAAGTCTCGAGTTCGAACCCTCGGGCAGATGAGGCTCGTTAGCTGGGGACAGCCACTCTTCTAGGAGAGACAACTCCAAAATCAAACAACTGCTGCCTTGTAGTTTATTCTTGGTTGGACAAAGGCTATGGAAGCAAATCCAAAAAAGAAAAGCAGGCTGAAATCGGAGTCAATGGCCTCAATGGCGCATAACCAGTTGACACGTATCCTTAATTGTGATGGAGGCGTGGTCGAGTCGGCTAAAGCTCATGGTTGTTTAAAAATTAAAAATAAAAAAGTCTCGAGTTCAAACCCTCTGGCAGATAAGGCTCGATCTCTTCCAACATTAAAATTAAGAACGAAGAAGAAGAAGAGAGGGACAAAATCAAGGATGTGCTACAGAACAAATTAAAACCCAGACCTGGACTAAACAAGCTATTCAGGAAAACCTTAATATAATGATAATTGTTTTTCTTAAGTTTATTAGATCATGCAGTTTTAAAATACGTTATATAAGTTGCAATCATAGTTTGCCATGCGTTGAACAAGATAAGGTTTATTTAATAGTTTTCATTATTATGTATTTTTGTTTCCATTAAAAATAAAATATTTTTTATGAAAATAAGATTAACAAAAATTGTTTTACAACATTTGACACCTGTCTTAAGAAAATATAAACTGTCAAAGACTTAAATTTAAAATTAAAGTTATTTTAAAAAGTTTTTTTTTTTTTTTTTTTTTTTTTTTTTTTTTTGCTGTCAAGACCCTATATACCTAAAGAAGAAATCAATTTTTCAATCAAATGAGAAACACAACCCACATACCTGAGCCAGTTGAGGTTGTTGATTGTCTTAGGGTTGAAGTATACAACCCTCTCCAGTGAGAGGGAGAACCTGTAGCCTTCACTGTCAGATATGTACAGGTTGGTTGTTTCATTGACGGTAGCACACACCATCATCTGGCCCTCTGACGTGTCCGCAACAAAAAAGTCCTAGAAAGTTTTCAACAACATATAATAGAGTTTAGGTCAGTATAAATATGTTAATTCTACCAACTATTATCATCCCAAATACGGCTGCTTAGCATTAATAAGTTTACAACGATATATGGAGTTTGAGTAAGAATAAATATCTTAATATCTCTATACTCTATTAATTCCTATCCTCCCCCCTCCCCCGGTGCAAAAAAATGTTTTAAAAAGTATAACTAAGGTCTTGGACAAAAGTCCATCAAGACTTTCTATCAGATTATTAGAGACTGAATTTAGTAATAAAATAGTCTTGACACCGTTCCTCTCACATAGTACTGACAAGTTGTTTGTGCCGTTTATTTTTAACCAAGTTATTCCAAAAGTTTCAAAAATACTTTATTACATCCTATTTAAAAACTCCATTAGCCAATGAATTCAAGCATCACTCTGAATTGTGAAAAACTGCTAAAGCTGATACCTCAGCCCAAACACAACTCTAATATTTCAATGAAAAATATAAATCTTGATATAAACTGTTGCTGATTTAAAAAATTTGTGGATACAGCTAATCAGTGGGAGCCACTAGCCGCAGGCATTTGTCCCATTTGGGCATTTGACATTTTCGGGCAAGTGTTCATTCGGGCAAACAGTGCTCAGAAATTAATCATAGACCCTTAAATCGGTAATTAAAAAATTAATATTATTTTAAAATTATGAATTTAGGTTTTACTGAATAGTAGTTAATACTTTGCTATTATATAAATCCACTTGTCCACCTTTACATAAATTTGTTTCCCTTGAACAATCTCTCAATTCATTTTCTTTCTATGCTTTTACATAAATCTAATTGTCTCCCTTATTTAAGGTTCTTTCCTATAAATATTGAAAATTTAAACAAGTTTATTTTTTGCTTTGATAAAATTCACCTGCCTTGGTTGAAGATTGTAAACCTCTTACAAAAAAGGGAAAACAAACAAAAAATTAAAAATCAGGACCTTGGAATCCTTAACTTACTGTGATGTTTCCTTGTACAGGGAACTCAGCTTTCATAAAATGACCCCTGTTGTATGACACCCACAGTTGGAGTTGGGGGTTGTACTTCGCTCCCAGAAGTCTCTGAAAATGTACAGTAAAAACTTGTAAAGCTGGTACAAATAACCTAAATTATGAACAAAAAATTGTAAGGTGTTCTTCATAAACAAAGTTAATAAAAATGTATATAGCTTCTTACTTTACAATTTATGCCAATGTGCTGACTGGGGGAAGGGAGTTTTAACATGGTAGTTCTTTAAAAAATTTGAAAACAAAAATAAAACTTGTATCCTGCATGTAAACAGTAAAATTAAGACGACAGTGCTCATGGGTTTTTTTTTAAAAAACATCCCAATGTGTAAATAAAGCACTGGATTTATACAACCACTGAGATGATCTATATCATAAGCGATTTTTATCATGATTTTTAACCTCCCCTCCCTATTCACCACCCAGCTTTAATATTAGCCAGGACCTACATGACCTTACAATTCAGCCTTTCTCACCTCTCGTAAATGTAATTTAAAAAAAACAGCAGCTTTTTTCTAAAATATTTACTGAGATAAACAATGCTGAGCAGGCTTAAATAGAATTTAATTGAAATTTTAAAAAATACCTACGGAAAAGAACGGCTTAAATTCAAGTTCTAACATTATTGGAAAAGGGCGTCATCACATTTTCTGAAACCCTCCTCCCGCCTCTCTGGAGTGTGACGTCTAGAGTTGCCCAGTCTATTCAACTAATCCAATCACTAGAGTAGCCCACTGTATTCAACTGACCACATCACTAGAGTTGCCCAGTCTATTGAACTCACCACAGACTTGGTGGCAAACATGTATTCATCCCTCATCTCAAAGCTAATGACCTCCGACAGCATGAGGTCATTCTGCTGGCTGGACGTGAACAAGTTCTTAGAGCGGATGATCTGTGCCTTGCCCGTGGCCTGGACCTTTTCTATGTAGATGGTAGAAGAGTCATCATAAGGCAGCACACCCCTGGGAAAAAAATTATAGAAGAGTCATCATAAGGCAGCACACCCCTGGGAAAAAAATTATAGAAGAGTCATCATAAGGCAGCACACCCCTGGGAAAAAAATTATAGAAGAGTCATCATAAGGCAGCACACCCCTGGGAAAAAAATTATAGAAGAGTCATCATAAGGCAGCACACCCCTGGGAAAAAATTATAGAAGAGTCATCATAAGGCAGCACACCCCTGGGAAAAAAATTATAGAAGTCATCATAAGGCAGCACACCCCTGGGAAAAAATTTATAGAAGAGTCATCATAAGGCAGCACACCCCTGGGAAAAAAATTATAGAAGAGTCATCATAAGGCAGCACACCCCTGGGAAAAAAATTATAGAAGAGTCATCATAAGGCAGCACACCCCTGGGAAAAAAATTATAGAAGAGTCATCATAAGGCAGCACACCCCTGGGAAAAAAATTATAGAAGAGTCATCATAAGGCAGCACACCCCTGGGAAAAAAATTATAGAAGAGTCATCATAAGGCAGCACACCCCTGGGAAAAAAATTATAGAAGAGTCATCATAAGGCAGCACACCCCTGGGAAAAAAATTATAGAAGAGTCATCATAAGGCAGCACACCCCTGGGAAAAAAATTATAGAAGAGTCATCATAAGGCAGCACACCCCTGGGAAAAAATTATAGAAGAGTCATCATAAGGCAGCACACCCCTGGGAAAAAAATTATAGAAGAGTCATCATAAGGCAGCACACCCCTGGGAAAAAAATTATAGAAGAGTCATCATAAGGCAGCACACCCCTGGGAAAAAAATTATAGAAGAGTCATCATAAGGCAGCACACCCCTGGGAAAAAATTATAGAAGAGTCATCATAAGGCAGCACACCCCTGGGAAAAAAATTATAGAAGAGTCATCATAAGGCAGCACACCCCTGGGAAAAAAATTATAGAAGAGTCATCATAAGGCAGCACACCCCTGGGAAAAAAATTATAGAAGAGTCATCATAAGGCAGCACACCCCTGGGAAAAAAATTATAGAAGAGTCATCATAAGGCAGCACACCCCTGGGAAAAAAGTTAACACAATGGTTGATATTAACCTTGATTTTTAAAAATTATAAATAATTGATCATTTTTCTTGGGAAACCTTTTCTAACTATAACTTAGAATATTTTAGGATAGTGAAAATAAAATGTTTTCAACCAATTTCAGTTTGTATGATTTTCAATTTGTGGTACTAATTCTAATAATGGAATCTGTTAGATCAATGATAGGGCACTTTATGGTTATAGAATCTAACCCAAAACCGAACCGTGTGAAAAAAGCATTTTCACGCCACCTCTACCACCTTACAGGAAATAAAGGACCCTTTCAGGCACTGCAGTCTACAGGGCAGACCCAAGCAGAGTTATTTGTTTTTTAATCTCTGCTACGTCCCATCATCACAACATTACAAACACTTTTTATATTTATTGATTTACATCAAACTGCTAGAAGCATATTACATTCAAAACAATTAATCTGTTTTATACAGATAATCACCTTTGCAAGCCCTTAATGTAACACATACCTGCAACAGGACTAAACATTGATAACTATTAGCCTTATTAAATGAAGCACTTACCAGTAAAAGGATTTAACACTGCTGAACACAGGCCTCCAGGTCTGACAAAAGTCTTCAGAGTAATACAACTGCAAGTAACAAAACAGGAGAATAAAACTATGTTTCAAAGGGGAGGTAAACAATGTGTATATAACCTAAACATGGCTAACTGTAACAGCAATATCACATTTCTGAATAAAAATTCTGACAAAAGATCATTAGAAAACAAAACCCAAAATTGTTGGATATATTTAAAACAGTGTTACTTTAAAAGTTAAAAATATTAAAAAATGAATGTATCAGCCCAATCATAATTCAGTTAAAATATGAACAGCAATTTTATCTCCAGTCATGTGCATCTAATCACATGCAAAACTTGTATTCACTACACATTTAAACTTAAAGCAGTTAGCACTAAAACTGACTGCTATTCACAAAAGAACAACAGGTTGTGCATTGTACTTGTACTCAAAAAGATATCACAGCATGTTTAAAATGCTGGCTGGCAAAAATAATTTAACAAAAATGTAATTGATAACTAATGTTTATATAAGTACATGTCATAGAAAATTGCTATATTTTTTTAAATTATAGGGTTTGAACTAATTAAAACTAATAAATCTGTGAGTAATAGATCAATAGCGTAAGGCTTTAAGGCAAATTTCCAGAATTATTTTGAGGGTATTATGATGGATTAAATCTGCAACATTAATGAGGGCATTATAATGGATTAAATCCGCAATATTAATCACCTGTTTTGCTGGATCATCATCGTCCATGCCAAGTACCATGGAAGGGTTGATGCTGTTCTGGCTCAGCTTCTTAGGCCTAAATGGTAGATTACAGTACGAGTTGAAGTTGTGCCCAGCATCATCGGTTGTGAAGACACACTTGTGGACTACATCTGTAAAGATGTACTGAAACATATTCAAAAAAAAAATGTTAAGCACACAAATGTATGTCATGTTAATTAATATAGTAAAGTTCCTCTTCAGATCTAGCCAACCCTTGGGCACATGAAGTAGAGCTTGTTTCTTGACCTCGGCATATGAAGAGAAGGTGTGGTCAGCACTTTGTCCAGCCGCCTTTACTTTCCCTAACAGGAGTTATGTATCCACCAAAGCTAGGTGGACTCAGTGTTATGATGTATGTTTTAGTAGATATGGACTTGAGTGCAGTTTGGTGCGAAAACCATAGTGAACGCATTAGTATGATGACACATTGAAAGTTAGTGACATAATTGTATAGAGATTTGGTTGCTATGAGTTTGGGTGTGAGTCTAATCTCGATCGTAGGTGTGAAAGGATGTGTGCTGGTTGGCATGACTCAAGTTGAGAGATAGGTTCTATGAATATAGATAAGTGAATACAGTAATAAAGATTCGTACAAGAAGTATTTAGTTCATCTTATTTTGAAACGTCGTTGATTTGTCTGAACGTAAGACAACCTTATTGGTTCTCAAGGTTTAGAACTCTCTCCCTGGTATTGGAGATAAGTTAAATGGTAGTTGGCTGAGTCAAGTGACTCAAACCCTCTCACACTGCACAGCATAAGCGTAACACTCAGGTTAGCAGCAAAGCGCTCTACCTCCTAGGCCACGCCATTCAATTGTTAATTAATATAGGCTAATTATAACTTTGTTTAAACAGAATTATTATTAAACTGATGAAATTTTTTGTTAAAATGCGCAAATTATTTGTTGAGATATTGTACAAAAATAAACTGCATATATATATATATATATATACAAAAAAAAAATGTTATACTACAGGCAATGTTCAAATCAATACTTTGAAACAATGAGACTTACATGATTTATAAATCCTTTCAGGCTGTAGAATGTATTGAGAACAGCTTGTCTACCATCAGAAGTATTCAGCAATTTACTTACATCTGTGTACGTACGGCCATAGTTCTGTTGGTGGAATTATAACATTATGTGTAATGCAGAAATGTATCCCAGTAAATGATTGCTTGCATCTTAAAAGACTTTGGATCAATTAAAAAATGTAGTACAAAATCAAATGAAAAGTCATCAGTGGAAAATAAAATGAGATTTACAAAAGGGGCATAACTCTGTCACAACCATCATGTGGTGTTATAAAATAGTTAACAAAGAAATAACTACATTTTTAGTTAGTTAAAACATACCTGTTAAAATCTCAAATGGACAAGTAATATTTATAATTGTAAAATGATATGTCTTTTAAAAAAAGTCAATTATTTTCGAAGCCAAATTCATATTTAAAAAATGTTACCCATGACAGAAACAAGGAACTGCTACTCCCACTGGGTGACTTTGCAAGGGCAACAAGCAAGTCACTTGATTCTCCTGCCCAGTGAATAACAAGAGTTGGGTGTGAATCATTCAACTTGGCCTGCGAATAAAATAATAAACAATTTTTAAGTGGTTTTTTTTTAATCACTTTTATCACATTATTATTTAACTGAAAAGCAAATACTTTTTTGCATAGATAAACGTAAACTCAACATTTTTAAACTGCAGGAAGATGCACCATTAATAGTTTTGGTTTGGTTAAGAGTTTTGAAGTTTGGCTGTTTAAATTTTTTGGATATTCAAAAAATACTCATACAATTAAAAATTAATGTAAATGTAATGCTTTATTAGAGCTACCCGCCTATAATATCTAGACCATGCTAAAAAAAATATTTTTGTGTACGCTTACTTATCACCACTGATTTGGAGTCTAAATACTAGTAGATTAATTGAGTATTATTTTAAAATAAGACTTCTTTATCGACTTTCTCCCTTGCTAGATTAACAATGTGAATAACGATTAATCATAGAATGTAAAATTACTGGTATTGGTGACGATAGTATTAATAATATTTTCAGAATTAACCCATATTCTGCTAGCGTCCCACTTATGGGACGCTTGTAAAAGAAATTGCTAAAATTTATTAAAAACTAGTTAAAACACAAATTATGTTTCATTGTATTTGAAAATGGCTAGACTATTGAATGTGTGTGTGTTTTTTGAAAAAAATTAATTTAGAAAAATGTTATAGTGCCGGATTTGCAGGACTTGTCAAAATGGCGGAAAAAAGAAAACATGCGCACAGGAAAATGCATATCTTCTAAAATATTAACATTTTAAGTGCAACATACATTTGAAACTTGTAGCAGTACCATATTTCTATCTGATAAAAATTTAAGAATAAAAATTTTTTTCTACTACTTCGTTATATCAAGTGTACAACAAGCGTCCCATAAGTGGGACGCTAGCAACGAATGGCCCCATGTAGATTGTTACACAAACGTCACATTTATTGGACACTAGCGTGAAACACATATGCAAATGTTTATGTTAAATGGTTATTTATGGTGAAAGATCTGTTGACTTTGTTAACTGCTGACTTTGGGGTGTTAAGTAGTATTTATAGATATTTAATTATGACCTTGACCTATATTTATGCAGATTGTTACACACACGTCACATTTATTGGACACTAGCGAGAAACACAGATGCAAATATTTATGTTAAATGTTTATTTATGGTGAAACAATTGTTGACTTTGTTAACTGTTGACTTTGGGGTGTTAAGTAGTATTTATAGATATTTAAGTATGACCTTGAGCTATATTTTCTTATATATTATTGTATTAAAAAATTGCAAATATTGAAAAACTTACATTTTATTTTTAAGTTTTCAGAATTACACTTACTGAAGTATTAAATACCATTGCATACAAACTAATTTAGTATTGCTGTAAATTTACTAGCGCGTGATATTAAAATTATAACAAACCAGAATAATAACAATTTCCATGATTGAGGTGAAATGATTCAGTCATGGGGGTTGGTTAACTCTCTTCATATCAGAGAGCTTAAGCTACATATAGCAGAAATGTGAATTAGCTGTGTACAGTTGTCATGCCCCAATAATATTCTCCTCCAAAGGTTCCCAGTACCAGTTTTACTTTGTTAACTTTTTAAGGAGATTCCTGGTGTTAGATTGGGAGCTGTTCGCATAGTGAGGTGTATACATGGATGAGAGCCATGAACACTCAATACAAGCCCCCAGAGACTGATCTGTGCCCTAGAAATAAGATGTCTGATGTCCTAATGTACGCCTGTGAGGGGTGGGGGGGGGGGGGGGTGGTGAAATAGCGAGGGTAACAAAAGAGAAGATGGCTAGATGACATCTGGGACTGGACCGGATCATCTTTTGCAAATTCACTGAGGGCACAGAGTTTCTTTCAGGCATCATTTCGGAGGAGAGAGAGGGGGGGCTCTGCCCCCAGAACAAAATGGAATTTATATACAAAACATACTTTTACCAATGTCCACCCTTCCCCTGAAATTTAAGTCCCCACCCCTGAAAATTTCAAGTACGCCCACCAAAAAATCAATTATTTATATTTAATTATATTACATTTTCGATGAATAATAACAATATTTGTGATCATGTGTGTCTAATTAGATGTACTAGTCACAGCTTTACTTATTTCCAAGTGTTATTCAATTTGATGGATGCTAGATTGAAAAAAAACTAGACTTTTGAACATAATTTCTGCATTTTAGACCATGGTATGGCTAACCCAATTGATCATTATCAGTATTTTTAGCTGTCCTAAACAATGTAATCATTGGTCTAACAATACAAAATCAGTATACAGTTTAATTTTCGCGTAAATAGCCATATTTCGTGATAAATGATTTTATTTTTCAATAAATGTACATGGGGCCGTTCATTGCTAGCGTCCCATTTATGGGACGTTTTTAAAAAAATCGATATTTAAAAAAGTATTGATTTTTTTAAAAAATCCATAGTCATTCCTTCATTCAGTGCCCAAAAGCTAAACCATATCAAAAAATTATAAAAATTTGAGACCTTGGGATAATATGGGTTAAAATAACACCTATTTTTTATATTTGTTAACTTAATAATCTACTCAAATCGATTCCATAACAAATAAATTTAAACAGATTTAACAAATATTTTAGTTTTAATTTTTTGTTTTGAGGGAAGGTAAAATATGTAAATTTAATGTCTGTAAAGAAATTAAAATTAATTTTCTCTACAATATAAACAACTGTCTAATTATTTGTAAGCAACATAGTCACACCTAGATCTACACTTAACTTGCATTGCCCTAACTCAGGCTTTCAAGCTAAGGGTTGACTTTATTTATTATTAAGAATCTCCAAATTTTAAATGTAACTTATTTAGCCTATAAGCATTTTTTCAAAGAGTAAGAGCTAAATGTTGTGTTCACAGAATATGAAATTGAAATGTATGTGTCTAGTATTCTATAGTAATAGTATTGTTTGCGAGCCTAAATTAATCTCAGATTTAGTGGGAAAACCTATAGTTAGTAATACCAAAAAAGTAAAAATAATCTATAGTATATATTATCATAATATATACTATAGATTATGGTATATTGATAGTGAAGAGTACAAGTCTAATCTGTATAGGCCTATGCCGTCCTTTCCCTATTGTTCGGGTAAAATTGCAGTAAAAAATTTAAAAAAACAGAAAAACAATGACTTACACTTTTAGGCCTACACACCATAATTTATTTGGTGCAAGTCATTTTTGTATAGGTCTAGAGTGTTTTAAAAATTTGGATCGATTAATCATGGTATGGTAAAAATAAATAGAATCTACCATTTTGCTAATAATATTTTTTATTTCTAGCCTACTGATTTTAGTTAGTGTTTTAATCTGTTTTTGCTAATGATTGCTGCTAGAATTTCTGCTAAACATTGTTCTAGACAATTTTACAATTTTATCAATAATTTTTTTACTAGATCTAGATCTAATTGTTGCAAATCTGTTACTTATGCAAGTTTTTATTTCTGTATTCCTAAAAAAAACAGGCCAGAATTACTAAACTACATGTTCAAAAAACTTACCATCGTAACTATATTTTTTGGATCAACACCATCCTGATCATTAGCTGCACGTTTCAGCCTTGATGTTGGTTTGGAACCGGACAAATGATCATACTTTGAGATGTCAATTATTTTATATCCATTCCCTAGCTTTTCACTGATGGCTTCAAGGGTTGAAGAAGGAAGAGTTCTTGTTTCACTTCTGTCATCTGTTGCTTCTGTAACTAACACTAACAACAACAGAAACAAAGCAGCACTCCTAACATTTAAAAAGACCTGCATTCCGCTAAAGTGCTGTTTACACTTGAAGTAATGGGGAAAATGTTAACGAAAACATCAAATCTATTTCTAGCTTAATAAACAACTTCCTAGTTCCTTAGCTTGTTTGCTAAGTAACATCGGCTACCATTACTTTTGTAGTAAGAAATCACTAAATATCCGGTTCAAGAAAAATAGAACGGAAGGTACAAATCTTTATGGTCCATTAGCACCTGCTAGCCTCGTAAAATATAATGCTTTAGTTTAGACAATACGTACTTTTCTAATATTAATGCCTTTGTAAAATTAAAAATAAATTAATTAAATGATCAATACATAGCAGTGTCTTCTTTTGACGAATAATCTCTTTAATATTCAGAAATTTAAAAAAAAAACAACTCACTTTATTTTTTCACGAGGTCATTTTGTAAATCGAATTTTGTCTCCCCCCCCCCTTCCGCATCGTCACACATCGTCGTTTAATATCAGACTCAGAGGCGTAGCGAGGGGGGGGGGGCGGGGGGGACATATGTCCCCGGGCGCCGACCTTAGGGGGGCGCCAAATTGAAAGTTTGAGGGGGGGGTGCAAATGAAATGTTCGAGGGGGTGCAAATCGAAAGTTTGAGGGGGGGGGGGTAAATGAAAAGTTCGAGGGGGGGGCGCAAATCGAAAGTTTGTCCCCGGGCGCCGGGAGGGGTCGCTACGCCTCTGATCAGACTCCCACCCTAACAATGACATTCCTACACAGAAGCTTGCCACCTCTCTAATTTTTTTTTTAAACAGTGAAATCAGTGTATGATATTGACTGAGCTCTGCATGCATTAGGCATAATGTTTCATTTTTCATTTTCTCGTATATACGAAGTATAAAGAAAATCCGTAATCGTGCAAAAAAAAAACAGATTTTTGCAAATCTCGACGTTTTACAGCTCCCTGAGTCGGAAAAACAATATTGTCTGTATGTCTGTGTGTGTGTGTGTGTGTGTATGTGTGTGTCTGTGTGTCTGTAAACACGATAACTTGATTACCGTTACAGCTAGGTTGATGAAATTTCGTATATAAGTATTATAGCAAATCGTAGATCCGTATCAACTTTTTAGCGATTTCCGATAACCGGAAGTGGAACTTTTTCTACTTTGAAATTTTCAAAAGCCTATAACTTGAGTACTATTTCAGATAAATAAATAAAATTTCACATGTAAGTAAAAGATCTAATTGTCTGTCTTCTGTTAAATTTTGAGTAATTTCCGTTGACTGGAAGTAGTATATTTTGCTGTTTCCGATTTCTCAATAAACGCATGTTAATTTGTAAAGTACAAATAATGTTGCGCACTATTATGCACATTTTATTTGGCGTTCACTTGAGGTGCAATTCTTTTTTTTTGTACTAGATTTTATTCTATTTTAAAAAGTTTAAGTATTTAAAATGGATTAAAAATCATGTCTATATCCCGAGTTGCCATCCCATGTTTTTTCATAAAAGAATATTCGAGAAAGTTTAGCGGAGATCACTCCCGGTTTATTTTCATTACAATGTAAAAAAAATTAATACAAGTTGTACGAATGCGAAATAGTCCCTGAACAGAGGTGTAGCGACCCTTCCCGGCGCCCGGGGACAAACTTTCGATTTGCACCCTCCCCTCGAACTTTTCATTTGCACCCCCACCCTCAAACTTTCGATTTGCACCCCCCCCCCTCGAACTTTTCATTTGCACCCCCCCCCCCCTAAGGTCGGGTTGGAAAAATAAATTAAAAGGTTGAGGGGGGTGCAAATCGAAAGTTTGAGGAGGGGTGCAAATGGAAATCTCAAGGGGGGGTGCAAATCAAAATCTTGAGGGGGGTGCAAATCGAAAAGTTTGTCCCCGGGCGCCGGGAAGGGTCGCTACGCCTCTGATTCGTGCCTACTAATCAGTTATCCTGAAAGTCGTCTCTATGTTGTTGGTTGCTCTAGCCAATCTTTGCATTGTTTTATGAAAGACTATAGCCGACAAAAGCATGGGTTTGCTACTATCCAGGAAGAAAAATTAGGCATACATTAGGGGACCAAATAATAAGGGTTAGAAACGAATTGGTGATCTTATAATTTGTTATTTATTATCTCCCAGGTTAGCATGAAAATGCAAACCAGGGGACACAACTTCAAATTCAATTTCACAAATCAGCGAGTCTATCCTCAATCAATGACGTCATTCTACTATATATATATATATATATATATATATATATATATATATATATATATATATATATATATATACATATGTAAGTATTTGTATATATTTGTTTATATATACATGTATATGTATATATATATGCTTATATATATATACATACACACACACACACACAAACATATATATATATATATATATATATATATATATATATATATATATATATATATATATATGTAACGAGTCTATTTGCTTGTAGTGCCAAATGTTAACGAGTGTATTTACTCATTCTACACAACATCGACCACAATATAGATACTCGAAGATGCAGGTTTACCATTGATCCTTTTATTACATGAATCAAAAGAAATGCTTCACAATAATAGAATGAATCAACTGACCCCCAACCGTCCTCACTAGTCTTCACATAACCGAATGCACATGTCTATCGTCCCTATTAACACAATACGTCTACAACGTTCAGTAACCAACTTGATACTGCCACACTTCTACTCAACACGTCTCTACAGTTCGGCTTTCCCTTCTCAACTGTCGCCTTCCTATATATCCCTCCTCGTATTCGTACTCGTACTCGTACTCGTATTCATACTCGATTCTAATCGTTGCATCAGAATATTAATTGCGCAGCTTCTGTCATACAATCCGATTAATAAACCATCTGCACTGTTACGTCAGCCTGTGAACTGCGCAGCGGCTTTGTCGTATCGCTTCCCAAGCTACGCCTTGGCTTTGTGATCGTTATCAGCCCAACATCTGCACTATTGCATCAGACTGTAATACGTTGTTAACCATAATATGGTAACTACCCTAGTTACATCCACCCCCGCCTTTTTTTGTGTGTTTTCAACCACAAACAACGCTTGGCAGGTGCACTCCTTCAATGTCAAAAGCACCGCCGTAAAAAAAAAAAAATTATTGTTCCACTCACTGTCAATGTCGTCACATTCGTAAAAGATTGACAGTTATCACTATTTCACATGTCAAATGTGTCTTCATCATATTCCTCAGACACAACGCAGTTCTAGAATTCACATCCACCTTTTTTCGTTTGGTGCCTTCACCAGTTCACTTTTATAACTTTTTGAACAGTCTGTTCTCATACCAGCGCGACCATGAAAGAATTGATGGTTGCTGACGAAAAATTTCGTATTCTTTCTGTTTCTCAAACTTCTCCGCGGACCACTTATCTGATGGTCTACTGTCTCTCTGCTTTTGGGAGAAACGGGATCCTCTTTGTTGCCGTTATCCTCCACATGTGTATCGCTGTTGTGCTGTTGATGGTGACATATTTCCGGGATGGGTATGAGAATTTCCGTTGTAGTTTCCGGTTCCCTAGTTGTCTTCGGTTTCTTTGTATGTAAATGCTCTTCTTGACTATGCCAATATTTCTTTAATTGAGCAATATTCGCCCACCGATCCGGTTTGATGTGATTGGTGGGTCTTATCTTAAAGGGGCCACCTGCTACTTTAGGCATCTCCACGACTTGCCATATCTCCTGTCCCCAGAGGTCGTGGATTTTGTTTCTGCCTAATGGGTGGCTACGCAGTAATACTTTGTCGTTCAGTTGGAGTGGCGGGTCTTTTGTCTGTACCCGCGGTTCTCTTCGCCGTGCTTCATGTTCTAGTCTTCCTTGTACTACCCTGTACATTTCTCTTATTCGTCTCATATGTTCATTCACATATTCCAGTGCGGTGTATGAGCCAGTCATACTTTCCTTTTTTCCTAGGAACAAGTCAAGAGGGAGTCGAGCCTCCCGTCCGAACAGTAACATGTGTGGCGAAAAGCCGGTTGTGGCATGGGGGGTGCAGTTGTATAGATATACCAACTCTGGGAGAAAATCAGGCCAACGTTTTTTCTGTTCAGGTTCTAGAGTACGCAGCAAATCATGCATGCTGCGGTTGAACCGCTCGCACTGTCCGTTTCCTTTCGGATTAAATGTGGTTGTTCTAGATTTGTTGATCCCGTAGTGGCTGCACAGTTGGTTAATTACTTCTGACTCGAAGGCCCTTCCTTGGTCAGAGTGTAATTGTCTTGGTATGCCATATTTGATGAACCAATGTTCTATTAAGACCTTTGCCACTGTTTTGGCCGTCTGATCTCGTGTGGGCACCGCAACAGTCCATTTGGTGAATACATCAGTCATTACCAACACATGTTCCGTCCCATCCGATGATTGCTCCAACGACGTAAAGTCCATAGCCACAATCTCTAGTGGTTTTGTCGCCAGTAAGTGTCCTGGTGGCTGTCTTATTTTAACAACTGGCATTTTCGCATGCTGACACCTCACACAAGCCTCACAATGGCGTTTGACCTCCATCTCCATATTGGGCCAGTAACACCGCCGTCGTAATATTTTGTGCGTCCTGTCCTGACCCTGGTGTCCTGCCCTGTCATGTGCCAACTTTAGCACTTCTTCTCGTAATTGTCCAGGCACCACCACCTGGTGTATTGTCCCATCAATTTGGTCATGAATTCTCCGCATGAGAACACCATCCTTTATACTGAGACGGTCCCACTGACTCAGTAGTTTCTTTGTTTCTCGACCAAACTGTTCTCTTTCCCTTCTTCTTGGGAATTTTTGTTCCTGGACGTATTTCAATAGCGGCTGTAAGCCACTATCCGTTCTCTGGGCATCTCTTATCTCTTTGTGATTAAGGCAGTTAAAATCACTGATGTCCATATGACGGGGCTCTGTGGATATGTGCTCCACCACAGTCTGCCCGTTTTGCATCACTTGCACCCCGTGAGGGATATCTGTTGACGCTCTGACCTCACATATTCCTGTCAGCGTTTCTTCCTCATCGCCCGGTCTCTCGTAAGGATTCCTTGATAAGGCGTCCGCATTGCCATTGGACCGCCCCGGGCGATATTTTATCTCCAGGTCAAAGAGTGCCAATTCTGCTGCCCATCGCTGTTCGATGGATCCCAACTTTGCTGTCTGTAGGTGACTGATGGGGTTATT